GAGACGATGCGGACACGGAGGCAGATCACCGTTCCGCGGGCTATGAGGTGCACGGGGTTGAGGTAGTACGCCGTGAGGTAGGGCATGTTCCCGTGAGGTAGGTCGGGATTATACAGACTAAGACGGAGTTCCTTGAGGTAGGGCATGGTTCACGTGGGGTAGGTCGGGACGATTTTGACAGGGAGGCTGGTTGCCGTTGCGCGGGCCGTGATGTACACGGGGTTGAGGTAGAACGCCGTGAGGTAGGTCGGGATTATACGGACTAAGACGGGGTTCCTTGAGGTAGGGCATGGTTCACGTGGGGTAGGTCGGGACGATGCGGACAGGGAGGCAGATCGCCGTTGCGCGGGCCGTGAGGTGCACGGGGTTGAGGTAGAACGCCGTGAGGTAGGGCACGTTCCCATGAGGTAGGTCGGGATTATACAGGCTAAGACGGGGTTCCTTGGGGTAGGGCATGGTTCACGTGGGGTAGGTCGAAACCATGCACCCCGCCGCGACCCGGGAAATCCCTCCGTCTCTATAATCACGGGGAAAAGACTCGCTCCCCCCTTTTCGTTGGTCTTCATTCCCGCCGAGAAGACGAGGAGGAGTACGTGCCTCCGAAAGGGCGACGCGATCCGATTCGACCGTGGAGTGACTTCGGCAGGGGGGAAGGAGGAGAGGAGGAAAAAAGAGGCGATCTTTTCTGCCCTTTGACCGGCCCCCTCCTCCCCGTCGGCGCGTTTCTCCCTTTCTCTAGGCCTCTTGGCGCACTCGAGGCCCTCCACGAGAAAAAGGGGGCCTTTTCCACCCTTAAGCGGGATCGTATCGTCGCCCGCTTCTCGACCTCGGATTGGATGGCCTCGTAAAAAAATCCTCCATCGGTAATAACACCGCCGAGAAATCTCCTATCGGCCGGTGTTATGTCCACGGTGAAGAGCCCTCCACCCTTTTGTCCCTTTTCCTCGTTTCCCCGATTTTTCTACCGCGACTTTGCGCCTTTTCGATGTCGTTTACTTTTTTCTTTCCTTTTGTTCTTTTCTTTCAAGGGACCCACCGGGAATTTCAATGTCCCGGGTATGTCCGAGATTTATGCCGGATCGCAAGTGCACCTTCCGCTTTCGGCCTCGCCTTAATTCGGGCCGCCTTGAATTAAGGTCGTACACGCTGAGTGCTCCCTGCCCTCTCGAGGGTGGCCTTTGAACTTCGACCGTCCACTCGGCGTGTGTCGGAATAAATCTCTATAATTCGTATACATATTTAAGCGTCTAGTTTCCCGTGGTACTCCTTTCGGGTATTCGGAAGGGTATATTGAAAAATATCGCTTCCGTCCCGCGGCGCATCCGTGGGTCGCATCGAGAATGGGCACGTGATTGCTAGTGTCACTTCCGAGATTGGCTGGTTCCGGTTGTTGCGACGGGACTTCCGGTGGTCCCTTCAAAATTGTCACCGTTCCCCGGGATTGCTTCCCGTCCACGGTTGAGCGTCATTCCCGGTACGTGTCGATACCCAAACGACGTGTTTCCGATGAAATCCCCGTCGTTTCTAAATAGACCCGTTACATCTCGTTACCGCACCGAGATCGAGGACCCCCCCAATCCCCCGCCCCACGGGAAAAAACAAATTTTTTTAAATGGAAAAATTCTAGCCATCCATTTTTCGGATATTAAACCCGGTCTCGATTGCGCGAAAGAAAGAAAGAGAAAGAGAGAGCGGGAAGTGCCCCGCTTTTTCCGGGATTTGCAATTTCCAGGGGGGGTGGGGGATTCTTAATTGAACCTAAAATTGTTAGGCCGCGGGTTTTTTTTTTTCATTTTTCCCGCGGAAAGGGGAGGGTGTTTTAAATAAATTGTCGACCTAGGTGTTTGCGCAACTTGAAATCAGACGATCCAATACTACGACCCCTCCCTTCGGGGATGCTCCACTCAATCAAGCACAATCCAGTAGATTGGCCGGACTCCTTCGGGACTCCATATTTGAAAGAGAGGCGAGAGCAATTTCATTCCATTTGCTCGCGGGGGAGGAAGAGCGAGAGAAGGGTTGGCCCCCATCGGGCCAGTCGATTTAATCAAATCATGCGTTTCGATACCTTCCGTCGATTCGATCAGGCCGATCGACGGAATCCGCATCGACAGGTGGAACGACGCGACGAACCGCCTAAAGGTATACATTATTACATTTCACCGAAACTCCCGAGGGAGACGGCCGAGTCGAGGATGAGCCATTTTCCCTTGCTCCGTGTTTACTCGTCCTTTATTCACTTTTTAACCTCTACCACTTTGTTCCATTTATTGTCGGCCCTTTAGAGGACCCTTTCACGGTCGGCGGACTCCTAGTACTCGTCCGATCGGATCGATTGATCGATCCTTCAACGGGGACTCGATAATTAATATTTCCCTGGGTTAAGAGGATATGAAAGGCGTAGAGTAATTATAAAGAAATCGAGGTAAAACTCCAGAAACCCTCTGGATTCGTGCTTTCCGAGGCCCTAATTGACTGCAGAGGGACCCCCTGCGCCATCTGTGATTTCCATGTCAACTAAATTTCCACTCCGAGACCTCGTATTACCATCGTTTTCGCACAGAAGCGCATAAGACACTTTTTTACTCTTTATCCTGTTCAAATACCAGTTTATCGATTACCAGAGTGTTCTAAATTGTCGTACAATTGTCCCGACCCTTTCGTTTCTCATATCAGAGCCTTCAATAATTGGATATCGATCGAAATATGAGAGCTCGACGCCATTTAGGTTCTGATCTGGTCTGAATTAAGCAATTTTTTCTCAAAATCCAAATTTTCAATCTGTCAGGACAATTCTTTGATGATCACGAGTCACGTGTCAACGTTTCGGACAGTTCGGTGCAATACCCTTAACCCTATGGCTACTAAGAGCTCCTAAAGGCGCCCGACGTTTGGTCCAATATTGCCTGCACGGTCAGAGGAATTTCGTCCATATGTCGAAATGGCTCCGTGTTCAAAGGGTTAAAAAAAAAGCATTTCCTTCAAATCGACTAATTTGAGGGTGGTTTAACTTCACCCTCCACCACTACGGTGCAATACCCTTAACCCTTTGGCTACTAAGAGCCCCTAAAGGCGCCCGACGTTTGGTCCAATATTGCCTGCACGGTCAGACGAATTTCGTCCATATGTCGAATTGGCTCTGTGTTCAAAGGGTTAAAAAAAACAGGGTTTCATTCGAATCGACTGATTTGAGGGTGGTTTAACTTCACCTTAATCACAAAGAAAATTTCCCCGAGTGGATCAGGATGGGTAGATTCGACGGAGTGCGGGGAAAACTGCGAGTGAGGGTAAACGCATCCCCGTGCGCACAGGGGGGGGGGGGGGTGAGGAAGGGTGCAGCGGTGGAGGGTGGTGCCTCGACTAATTTGCACAACTGTTTGGCAAAAGCCGACGTCACCGGCTTGCACACAAGGCATAATTTTGGGACTAATCCCGCAGTTTAGCCGCGAGTTTAATCCCCGGTATGCGGCGCGCACTTGCACGCAGGTGCAGGGGTGCATAGGTGCACGATGGCAAGGGTGCGTGGGTGCATAAGTGCACGGGGACAGGGATGCGTGGGTGCACCGCGACGAGCACGTAGGGGGGGTCGGGGGGTCGGTTTACGCACGCATACGCAAGTACCCTGGAGTACGTAGGGGGGTACCACCTCCGGGGATAAATGCAGGTGCAGGGGGGTGCGTTACCGCATGAACTGGCGACAAACATCGGGAGCCGACGAGTCGATCAGCGAAATTGCACTTCGGGGGCGGCATTCGCACTCCCCCCCGAATTTCGGCCCGAGCTTTGGGAAAAGGGAGGAAGAGGAGGACGATTTCTAGGGGGCCTCCCCCCCCCCCGCCCGGGGGCAAAGGCCGCGATATATCTCCGCGGAATCCGACACCAGACCTCGCAGGAGACAAGGGGCTTGCCGCCCCCGTCGAGCCACCCCCGCGGACTTACCTTCCGTCCGAAGGGGTGGCGGACCCCTTCCGGATAATTCGCCAAGATTTAGTACCGCCCCGTGAAGAGGTCGGGATATGCACCCCGGACTGGGGAGGGTAGGCGAGTCCTTTAAGGTGTTATGAAACTGTCATATATGAATTGTCATATATGAACTGTCATATATGAATGGTCATATATGAACTGTCATATATAAATGGTCACATATGGACTGTCATATATGAACAGTCATTTTTGAAACTGTCACGTATGAATTTTAATAAGGTATTTTAACCCTTTGAACGCGGAGCTACTTCGACATATGGGCGAAATTTGTTTAACCGTGCAGGCAATATTGAACCGAACGTCGTCGCTCTTAGTAGCCAAAGGGTTAATAGCTTCGAGTACTTTAAGTCTGCGTCGAGGTGGCACGTACGCACATACCACGGATACAGTGGTTTCATGTATTAAAATTCATGTATATGGATTTTAATACTTGCAATTATTAAGGGGATATTAGATGATAGATGAATGTCACTTTATCGACGTCGATGAAAAATGTCAGCGCCTTTTGTATCCTCTTAAGTAGGGGGTAAGTCGGGAAATACCTGTCGCCTTTGACGGGGACTCGCGACCTGGGTCAAGGTTCCTGTAGGTTTCGAAAAATCTCGCGGAGGGGTTTTACGGGGTGCGGGAGACGGACCTAGGGATGGGAATTAGTTATGGGAGCGGGGTTAATTAAACGGAGGGCGTCCCGGATGGGACCGCCGTCGCCCTATGCATCCCGAGCAGCCCAGACGGGAACTTCCGGTCGGGATTTCGCGAGGGGTTCTTTTTCCTCCGGTCCCCTCGATCGAGCAGGGGTCGCGCTAATCGGGAGCTGGAACCCTAGGAACGTGGATTCGCACCCGGGAGGTCCTCCCCAGGAGGGCCGGGGGGGAGGTTTGCATTTTGAGAGGATCGTTACCTGACCCCCCCCACGTAGCCGCGACGGGAGTTTATTTCCCTCGTTCCTCCCTCCCTCCCGCCCGTCGGGGGAATTAATTCCCCTATTTCTCACGAATTCACTCGTCCTCTTCCAGGAGGAACCTGACGACGCTCGAGAGGTTCCACCTAGACATCGCCAGGATGGAGATGTACCCTCGGAGCTCGAAGTACGTCGGCCAGCTGCTCCACGAGATGGCCACCAAGTCCATCGTCCACGTAGGTGGGTCGAATTCTTTGGAAATTTCATCCAGGAGGGGAAAACCGGGAGATTTTCGGGAGGGCCAGGTTTTTCCGGGACAATGCGCCCCCCGGCCCTCCTGAATATCCCAACACCGGTCCTCTCTCCTCTGTTAGGGCTCATTTGCTCAGCCGCGACAATATTGACTACGTCCACGGGGTCTACTCGTGGGAATTACCCCCCTCCCCCCTCCCCACAGGCGGGAATTCGCAATTGGGAAAAAAAGCACGGTGAAGTGCGATCCTTAAACCATGTATATATAAACCTCGCATTGGACCTCCCAAAAAAATCAATTTTTTTAATGAAAAAAAAAAACACGAACATTGTCTTGGCAAAAAAATAAAATTCTTAATTATATTCGAGGGTGGAAAATTATAGTAGCATTAAATGCAACGCCGTTCGAATTATCTCGAGTGTGCACAGTTTGGCCTGTTTAGTGCACTGGAATTAATTCGAGCGCACAAGTTAAGGGGTTAATTGTGTGGGATGGGATTTCGACAGTTTGACATCGATCTTTTTGTCATTACTTTCCCGAAATGACATATAGAACCCCTCAATTCGTAAAATTCTCAGCGTAGACTGTAAAGGACTTCGATATAAATATAAATGTCGTTAATGGGACGCGCTTGTTCCCACTTGAGTATTCAAAACGGCATTACCACCAAAAAGGGTGTAGATGAATTTCCCTTAATCGACGTCGATTAAATGTGCCCATAATTATGAAAGTGATCTGAGTCAAAATGAAAAAAAAAATGAGTTTATCAGTTATTTCACGCCATATTATTTCAAACGAAATTACTTCAATGTAATTTCGAAACAAAAGATATATGACTTAGACCACTTTCATAATTATGGGCACAAATGTTCTTAGCGCCTTTAATGTCCCTTTAATAACGAACGTCTCTTTTTTTTCTTCTTCTTTCAGTCCAGAAAGACGGAGGCACGCAATTGAAGCTCGTAATCGACTACTCTAACGGCATGCAAGCCCTCTTCAAGCCAATGAGGTGAGTCCGGGGATCGCCCTTTCCCTTTGTCTTCTGTTCAGGATCCCTCGGGCTCGCGCGTGCAGGAGTGCGAGCCGCCTCGCGGGGGGTCCTCCCGTCAGAAGTCGAGCGAGAGTCTTTGCGAGATCAGCGGACCTCGAGGGCTCGTCGGCCCACTCGGATGGAATTCGAGGAATGGCGGATGTGACGTATCATCTACTTGGGGCGGACAATGATAATTGAGTGGCGGGACGACGCAAGGCCGGCTCGAGTGGGTCTCACGGCACGAGGCACTTATGCAATTGCGCTCGCCGCCCCCGCCGCCCCTCGACCCCGAGAGTGCCCCCGGTCTTGAGAGGAGCGACCTCTTCTTCCGAATTTTTCCTACGGAAGGGAGGAAACGAAGATACCCCTCCGGCGAGCTTTCCCCGTGATTTAAACGACCTCCCTCCGAGGAAAACGGCCCTTGTCGCGAGGAGCGTGGCGGGGGGTCCGCGAGGTGCCTCTGGCTTTTAACCCCTTTGTTTTTCTCAATACACGTAGGTGTCTATAATCAATGTCATTGAGCCAAAAAAGTATTTTGTACGTTCCGAAAATAATTTCATTTAACCGAACTCCCTTCGAGGGAAACGGCTTTTGTCGTGAGGACCGTCTCGGGGGTTCGGCGAGTTGCTTCTGGCTTTTAACCCCTTTGTTTTTCTCAGCGCACGTAGGTGTCTATAATCAATGTCATTGAGCCAAAAAAGTATTTTGTACGTTCCGAAAATAATTTCATTTAACCGAACTCCCTTCGAGGGAAACGGTTTTTGGCGCGAGGACCGTCGCGGGGGGTCCGCGAGTTGCCTCTGGCTTTTAACCCGTTTGTTTTTCTCAGTGCACGTAGGTGTCTATAATCAATGTCATTGCGCCAAAAAAGTATTTTGTACGTTCCGAAAATAATTTCATTTAACCGACCTCCCTTCGAGGGAAACGGTTTTTGGCGCGAGGACCGTCGCGGGGGGTCCGCGAGTTGCCTCTAGCTTTTAACCCCTTTGATTACAGACACCTACGTACACTGAGAAAAACAATGTCATTGAACCAAAAAAGTATTTTGTACATTCCGAAAGTAATTTCATTTAACCAACTTCCCTCCAAGGAAAACGGCCTTAATTTCATTTAACTGACCTCCCTCTAAGGAAAATGGCCTCTGACTCGAGGAGCGTCGCGGGGGGTCGGCGAGTTGCCTCTGGCTTTTAACCCCTTTGATTACGAACACCTACGTACGCCGAGAAAAATAATGTCATTGAACCTAAAAAGTATTTTGTACATTACGAAAATAATTTGATGACTCAAATCGTGATAATTCCGGGGAAACGTTGCATACAATTTATTTTAGCTTATTTCAGGCAAATTAATGGTTCTTCGAATTAACGAGATATTTATCTTCGGTAACATTCAAAGAGGCATTTCTATGGTTCGATGAAATTTTTTATCTCGGGGTATCGGCACGTGGTTCCGCCCTCGGAGGGTGATTACGCAGAGTACACACCGTGTACATACCCGGCGCGTACCTGGCGTCGTGTACTCCCGCGAGGGGAACTCCCCCCGCCGCGCGTCGATTTTCGGCCCCTAACCTACCCCAACGATTCGACCAAGCCTCGAGGTGGAAAAACGCTAATTGATCGCGCCGACAATGGCGGGAGATAATTGGAAAGGCCGAGGCGGGAAGGGAACTCATTTTTTGGCGCGACGTCCAAGGGGTGAGTGAGGGGGGAGGTAGTTTCCTCGTTTCCCCCTCGAAATCGGATTTATTTTCCCCCCAGAGCAAAGCCTCCCAGGAGTGCCGCAGGCCCCGTCCCGGCAACTTCTTGGGAAGGACTTTCCGGTTTATATCCCCAGGTCCTCCGTCCGCCCGCGAGTCTCCTATTCCGCATCCGGAGGATCCCCCTCCCTTAATTTTCCGCCAAGGGGGCGTTACGTTAACCCTTTAACCCCAAAAACCGGGTAACTTAGTGCCGGATAAATCCCCTCGCGCCCCCGACTCGCTCTGTTTGATCTCGGTACACCGGGGGGTTAACTCGAGAGCACGGTTTGCTCGATTCCTCCCGGCAATCAAGCCTCGGAGATTCTCCTTATCAAACGAGCCATACGATTAAACTTACCCCCCGAGGAGTACCTACCATGGAAGAATCCTCAAACATCCTGGGGGTGGGGGTATGGAATTTTCGGGTGGATTTTTCGGAGCCGGCATAAAGAGCTGAATTTCATCCGGACGGCAGAATTCCGCAGCGGCCGTTTAACGAAGAAACGGGGGCGGAATCGTCCCGGCAATCTCGGACGTGTTCCGTTCCCGGGCGAAACTAGCCCCCCCTCCTCGGGGAACTTATTGCCGAACTTATTACGAGTTTAAGCCCCCCTCGCGTGTTTCAGACCCCCCACGGCCCCCCTCCTCACGCGACAATGGCATCGCCGCCACTTGTCCCAAAGCTTTCGGCCCCCGGAACTTTCAAACCCGGAACCTCCCCCCCCAGTGGGAGGGGGCGCAATAAGGAACGCCGCGGCGTCCCCCTCTTTTCTTCCGGATTATTGAAGATGATATTACTCCCCTTGGTTCTGCCCCCTTATCTTTCCATTACCTTCCCTTGTCCTTCTCGCCCCGCGAGCGGTCCTCCCCGTGAAACTTTCTCGGAGTCTCGAAAGTGTTTTAATTTGTTCTACCTACTTCCCCCATTTCCCCCCCCGTTTATTTTTCTTCAGTCCACCGGGAATCGGGGAATTTTCTCATTTTTTCTTCTCTCTTTTTCTTTTTTTTTCGGTCTTTCGAATTGCCTAATTCGCCTCCCTTTCCTCGAGTTTCCTCGATGGACGGATCGAGAGGGAGATCGCGTTTCTCTTCCTCCGTTGACGCTTTTCCGCGGCTTTTCTTTCTTTTTCCGCGGTCCAATCTCGGTACGTCGTTCCGTTTTCCCCCGATTTTCCGGGGAATTTTCATTAGATTAGGACCTCGGTGTATTTTCGGATCCTCGATGGACTTCGCCTGACAGTTCTTTTCGGAGACGTCCCGACCGCGCTAATGGACGGGGTTTTTCCTATTTTTTTTTTTCCTCCCCTGGCGGATACCTTGAAAAATGGGGAAAAAGAGGGAAATCCGGGAATTCTCTATCAGCGGTCGAGACGTAACAACTGGCGATTTATCTTTTCGGGATGACGTCTGCCTTCCCACTCGGCAAGGGCCGGCCAGGGTTTTCCCGTCAGCGGGGAGTGATGAATGTGCCATCACCTCGGACAGTCATTGTGCCCTGACAGTAGGTACACGTACGTGCGCGTATGCCTATGTACGCTGTACAGGGTGGTCCATAAACCCCTAATGCCCGCCGGGCGCGACACCGACTCGAGGCCTTATTGAGTAAATATTTCAGACCGAGTCCTGCAGGACCTCGCGGTGTCTCGCTCCTTTTTCCGCCTTCTCGCGTTCTCACCCTTGCCGGTCCTTTTTCTCCCTCCAGACTCCGTATCTCACTTTCTTTCTCCTTCCCGTACTTTCCCTGTACACGGCGAGGGGGGGGTGGGACACGTACGAGGCCGTTTCCTTTTCCCGGTTCGACGTCCTGGGACCGATAAAACTCGGGATTTCGTATTAGGCTTTACTATTTTATATTCTCCGGCTCCTCGAGACCCCCCACGGTGCAGGGGGTGATTCAGAATCCCTAGGAAAGGCTTCTCATTCGCGGGAATCGCCCGGGAGAATTTCACCCGAGGAAGGGAATCCCTTTGAAAAAGGAGCCCCGGGCCCCTGGATTTTTTTTCCGGGGTCCGGAGGTCCTGCGGCTTTTCCTTCTCCTTGGAAATTCCTCCGACGGGATAGAGGAGGCTCTCCTATTTTTTTTTTCCTCCGGGGAGGAGAGTCCGGGTTTAACGGGGCCTTAAATCCCCGGAGGCAAATCCGGGATGATATAAGGGGGCAGTTACGCAGGGAATTCCTCGATAGGGCCTAAGGACTCGGAAGTGGAGCCTCGATCGACCACCTAGGAGCTACTAAGGCCGCTCCTTTTTTTTTTCCACCCTCTTCTGGCAGGTTTCCACGGGAGCAGCAGACCCTGCCGAACCATTTTTACTTCACCGACTTCGAGCGCCACACTGCCGAGATCGCGGCCTTCCACCTGGACAGGTGAGTACGGGGACTATGAGAATTTTCAGGGCCGCGGAATCCTCGGGATGAAGGGTTGACATCCGTTCCAGGCTCCTCGGCTTCAGGAGAGCTATGCCCACCACCGGCAGGGTCCTCAACATGACCACGGAGATCTACCGGATCGCCGATGGGGAGCTCCTGAAGACCTTCTTCGTCAGCCCCGTCGGGAACCTCTGCTTCCACGGGAAGTGCAGCTACTACTGCGACACCGCCCACGCGATCTGCGGGAGTCCCGACAACCTGGAGGGCAGCTTCGCGGCGTTCCTCCCGGGGAAGGAGCTGGGTCGCAGGAAGGTATGGAGGCACCCATGGAGGAGGAGCTACCACAAGCGCAGAAAGGCCCAGTGGGAGCAAGGTGGGTCCTGCTTCTCCGTCCATCCCTCTTTTTCCTGGACGAAACCCGGTAGGACCTTGGGAACGAGACTGGGAGCTTGATTTTCTCTTTTCTTTTCTTCTTATATACTCGCAGACTCCGATTACTGCTCCCTGGTTAAGGAGATCCCACCTTACGACGAGGGTCGCAGGCTCCTCGACCTGATGGACATGGCGGTGTTCGACTTCCTGACCGGCAACATGGACCGCCACCATTACGAGACCTTCACCATCTTCGGGAACGACACCTTCACCCTCCACCTGGACCACGGTCGCGGGTTTGGCAGGCCCTTCCACGACGAAACGTCCATCCTGGCCCCGCTCCTCCAGTGCTGCATGATCAGGCAGTCCACCCTGGCCACGCTGCTCAAGTGAGTGGCCCATCACCCTAATGATTAGTTCGATCCGATTTATTAGGGTGTCCCATAAGCTCCTTCCGCATCGTGTATTCATGTCCTATGAAAAAAGGGAAGGAACTTATGGGACAAACTAATAATTTAAGGGACACCTAGGGAGGACGTCGCTCCTCCAGACGCTTCTAAGTGGATCTCTGTGGTGATCCCGGACGGTATCCTAGTTTATTAGCTGACGTAACGTAGTCACGAGTCCTGGAACCGTGGAGTCAGGATGCAGCCGACATATTCCAGGGTATCCTGCTAGGACATCTCGTGGTCGGTCGTGAGATTACCCGCGACAGGGCACTCCCAGGGGATGACGTGACCCGGGGGTGCAGGTGGTCGCATCCGCGGTACACCGCGAAGAGGCCGCTCACACCTAACGCGACATCCTGGCGAGATGAGACGCGATAATTGCCCCTCTAACCCGTTCCTCTCAAGACCCTCTTCCCCGCCCTGAGGGAAAAAAAAATCTATCCACCCAAAGAATAATGATTTTACTGAAATCAAATCCAATAAATCGGATGGAACGTTTCCTTAGAATGGTCCCAACTTTTTCGAGCCGATATTCTTTGTTTAACCCTTTGTCTTAAGATTTAATTTCAAATTAACGGGTGCGGACTAGTTAATTTTAATGAATATATTTAAAAATATATCGAGTGTATTTCATTAGGGACAAAATAGATTGATAAAATAACCTGTCAATGTCGAATTCGGCACAGAAAATGTATGTGGACGACACTTGTCATTTTTACTTAAGGTGATGGGAAAGTGGCGTCGAAAAGGTTTTGTTTATAAAACTTTTCTCCCAACTCGATTTACCGAATAGCTTGAAACTTTACAACGTGAATAGGGAGACTATAAGGAAGGTCCTGAAACTCATGAAATTTCAATTCTTCTCAAATTTGTTTATAGGTGTTTTAAAAATAGTTTATAAAGAAATGAAATTTCCCGAGTTTCAGGACCTACCTTAGGGGTCTCCATATTCATGTTTTGAAGTATGAAACGATTTAAGACACCCAGTTTTATGAACGATTGAGCTTTCGGATGCCACTTTGACATCCCCTTAAGGGGTTAAAAATATATTCCTTCGGTACTAATTATATAGAATAGTTTTATAATAGTCTGGAATTGTTCTTCCCTGGTTCGATGAATATTTTTCTTTTCCTCAGTGCATCATTTTCTTCATTGAGAAAATTATATTTTTCATTTCTCGTTATGAGAAAGCTTTTCCAGGTGGATTGGTTAAAAAATATTATGTTCTTATGGGTGAAAAAAAATCGCCCCTTGACATGCCTTACTGTGGATGGTGGTTTCACCCCCTTAAGGTGTTTAATGGCAGATAAAAAAAAATACGTGTCCTTTAGTTTTTAGTCTTCTATAACATATTATAAAAGAAATGAAACTGGAGGGATCGACCTGGGGCACCTTCCTTGTAAGAGAGGAAGGGAAGGCGAAGGGGTGCAAAAATCTACGCCGGGGGTGGAGGGAATCGAAGCCGCCCCCGCGTAAGTGTGGTCCCGGGTTTTCTCTCTCTCGAGTGGAGCCACCATAGTGCTCGCCCTGGTGGAGTACCTCTCTAGGTGGAGGCGCGTCGGTCCGACTCGTCGATTCGCCCACTTCGTATCTATTTAACGCGATACTTTATTCATCGCCCTCGAGGGCGAGCCCCAGGTCCTCTTATTGGCTCTTAGCGGCTTCCTCGGTGTCCTTCGACACGCCACGTCGAATAGTTCACGGCCCCGAGGAGCGAGCTCGGTTCCAGGATTTTCTACGATTTTCCAGGTATTTCCTCCACCACCCCTCCAGGCACCGGCGACGTCAGTCACCGACGTCGAGCTCGTCAGAGACGACGGATGCGACGCTTCGTCGTCGCATCCGCGTGATCACTGCTCCGATTGTCCTCCTATCCTCTCCCCTTGACAGGTGCTCGTCAACTCTACCTGGCTAATTATTCCAGATACTCCCTCCGTTGGCCTCGATAGGAATCCCCCTTTCTTCCTCTCGTATGATTGAATAAACTCACCCTGGCAAGATCGATGGAAATCCTGATTTCTTCGAGAAAATCCAAAATCGCTGACTTCCCTTAAATCAGGATTTCCTTTTAACACACTCGCGACCGGTAAATTTTTTCGTTTCTAATACCGAGTACCGGGGAAAATAATGAAATTCTTAAACTGGTTGCCGCAAACTTGTATCGTGTATCGTTATGGACGTGATTCACGTCGGCGGCAATCAGCTGATTTTAAAAAGACGTGAATTCACGTCAGCGGTTGCGAATGTGTTAATATCGCAATGATTTTAATAAACTTCTCGTTTAAATGTGATTTAAATCAACCCTTTCCTCCTCCAGGGTCCTGGGTCCTTTATGTTATCACTTGAGTACTCAAAACGGCATTGCCGCAAAAAAGGGTATAGATGAATTTTACTTAATCGATGTAAATCTAATTTCTCGGCGCCTTTCATACCCTCTGAAGTCGCGATGGAAAGTACGAAGAAAGAGGGAAATTTTCCAAGGGGGAGAAAGATAAAGCGATGGGATATTTTTTTATTTTTGCAGATTCCACAACGGGCCCGTGCGTCTCAGCGCCGCCATGAAGGAGAGCATGGCGAAGGACCCCGTGTCTCCTGTCCTGTGGGAACCCCACCTGGCCGCCCTGGATCGCCGGGTGGTCCTGATCCTCCAAGCCGTCCGGGACTGCGTGGACCGCAGCCTCCAGCAGGACGCTCTCCCGAGGGAAGCCAGCGCCGGGAGCGGCAACTCCTAGCCGAGGAACGACTTCTGAGCGGCTCGCCATATGTTCCTGGACCTCTTCCCGACACCCTGCATAAGTATCGAGAGTTGCGAGGAATTCCTCGAGGTGTCCTTATTTTATTTTACCTTATTTTTTTTTCATGCGTCCATCCTAGGGAATAAGGACTCTCGGCTCGCGAGAATTAGCGGACCTCGGGCAAAGAATTCAGAAGTTCCACAGAGGCCCAGATCCCATGTCAGCGCTTGATGCTCTAAAAATTGACTAACAAACCAGGAGTGGGGGTAAAAAAAGAGATCCCATGTGTTAGTATTTTATATACGAGAGGAAAAGAGATGCATATTGAAAGGAAACTGGCGGTGAGATAGAGGAAGAATGCAATTTGCTATATATCGCCATAAGATTAAGAGAGACGAAGAGATGATCACAGCGCCGCCATCGGCTGGCTAATGTATTATTTGTCGCGCAGCAAACGTCCATATCCTTTAGGGCTTCTATGGACACTTCTTAATTCTTTGCATCGAGACATGGAGATATGGAATCAGGGCGCTAAACGGTTGTCGGCGGATTGTTGCTCCCGTTTGCCAGGTGATTTATTAGTAAGATCAAGAGAGACGGAGAGATGATCGCAGCGCCGCCATTCGCTGGCTAGCGTACCATTTGTCAAGCAGTACTATGGACACTTCTGAGTTTTTTGCATCGAAACGTGGAAATATTGAATCAGGGCGCTAAACGGTTATCGGCGGATTGTTGCTCCCGTTCGCCAGGTGATTTATTAGTAAGATCAAGAGAGACGAAAAGATGATCGCAGCGCCGCCATTCGCTGGCTAACGTACCATTTGTCAAGCAGCACTATAAACACTTCTTAATTCTTTGCATCGAACCGTGGAAATATTGAATCAGAGCGCTAAACGGTTATCGGCGGATTGTTGCTCCCGTTCGCCAGGTGATTTATTAGTAAGATCAAGAGAAACGAAGAAATGACCATAGCGCCGCCATTCGCTGGCTAGCGTACTATTTGTCAAGCAGCACTATAAACACTTCTTAATTCTTTGCATCGAGACATGGAGATATGGAATCAGGGCGCTAAACGATTGTCGGTGGATTGTTGCTCCCGTTTGCCAGTTGATTTATTAGTAAGATCGAGAGAGACGAAGAGATGATCGCAGCGCCGCCATCCGCTGATTAACGTACTATTTGTCGCGCAGCAAACGTCCATATCCTTCTGGGCTTCTATGGACACTTCTGAATGCTTTGCATCGAGACGTGAGATATCGCCGCTAAACGGCTGTCGGCGGATTGTTGCTCCCGTTTGCCAGGTGATTTATTTCGTTCACTTGGCCAGAGAAAAGGAGGCCGTCGGGACGCAGGCGTCGGAGGAGGGCGAGCACCCTTTTTCCTGTTTCTCTTCCGCGGAAGGCGAGATTTAATAGTGGGGGACTCGCTCGGCTCGTGTTTCGGGAGATTGAATTAGGTGGTCGATTAAATGGAAATTAATCGAACGTGGCTTATTGGGGCTGCCAAGTGATTCATGACTTTTGGCCAGCGGCCCAGCCAAGGCTGGATTTCGAAACACCCGAGAGGCTGTGACGAGTGCCTGTTAACAATGTCTAAACATTCGATAGCGATCCGATAGGGCCGTCGAAAATTCCTGGGACATTTTTCTTTTTTTTTTTCCCTTTGGAGTTCCGTCAATTTCGGAAACCCTAATGAGGTGTTGACCCCTTAACTCTTTGAGGCACGTGGTATCAAAAGTGTCCCACCTTTTTAATGCGTGTTTTACCTTACAACGTTAACAATAAAATTTCTTTGGAACATGGGATCTTTTTTATTTTCTTAAATTCCGTGCCTCAAAGGGTTAACGAGTATCGTTCTTCAATAAAATCGGACGTTAATCCGGGAGGAATTCTCGGTTTTTTACAGCTTATCAGGAGGTCTCGAGTTCCGTAAAAATTCTTTGTAAATTATGTAAATTCGTCGGAAGTCACGTGGAGGACTGCAACACGAGCTGTGTACATATAGGTATACATTTACATATACGGATATATATATCTCGGGGATAGAACTGTACAGACGTATAGACAAGGTGTACAGTGTACAATGCTCTCGCGTAAGGAAAGGTGAAATTTGTAACAAAGGATGAAAAATGATAAGAAACCTGCAGAATATGATCTGCTATCTCCTAGGGAATTATCTCATAATTTGTTGACTATTTTTTTTCAGGCGCCCCAGCCTGTTGTGAGAGATTTTTACAGAAGACTTTCCCCGGAAGTTACCTCGGGCGGCCTTAATTAGACCTTTGCTTCGGTGTATTAATTAGCAATGAGGGAAAAAAAAAACGTAGCGGGGATGTTTAAAAAAATAGGGAGGAAAAATACGGAAATCTCGTCAGCGAGAAAGTTTCGGCTCCCCGGGGAATTTTCCGGGCGAACGGGAGAAAAGTGCATGCTGCTTCTTTCTCCCTTTTCTTTACTCTTTTTTTTTTTTAATTTTTTCCCCTTTTTGTTTTTAGATAGGTATTTCGTTTGTTTTCTAAGGCTGCGTATAGTACTCGCTTAAAGATTAAAAAGAAACAAGACGTGACGTGAGTTTGTTCCTACGATGGGTTCGTCTTGTAAAATTAATTAAAATTTTTATTATTTTTTCTTTCTTTCCATTTTCGAAAAAAAAGAAAAAAGAAGGGGGGGCGGCGAAATATATTTTACTCTTTAAGTCTAAGGTACACAATTTATTTTCGCGGGTTTTCGCCGTCATTGGACATTTCCTTTTTTTCTTCTCCCGTCCACTCGGGATTTTTCATAAGTGGACAAGATGCTGCGTCGTGAGATTTAATTTTAGATGAAAATCAAGGGCACCCTCCTATCGATTGACCCTCCGAGAACGTGCACTTTTCGATCGAGGACACGACGCTTTGCAAGGAAAAGAAGAAAGAAAAAGAAAAAAAAGAAATAGGGGCAAAATCAAAAGCTAGGGAATCGTGCAATGTTCTTAACTTCTTAATTTCCTCATTGTTTCGTTCTGTTTTTCTTGTCCTTTTCTTTAATTTTAATTAAACGCGCATATTTACTCCGATCGTTAAAGGCGTGGGAAGGTATTACTATGTACACACAGACTGCGTGTGTCGTGGGTGAGCCTAATTTTGTATAAACATTAATTTGGAAAAGCCCGAACCGTTTTGGGGGGGCGAATTTTCCCGGCAAGGGTCGCGATTTATTGGCGATTTATTATTNTTGTCCTGACACATTCAAAGTTTGGATTTTGAAAAGAAATTATTTAACTTGGATTTTTGAATTATTATATATAAAAAAGTATCTTAACAAATTATTGTACGAAAACGACAGGTGGAGTATGCCATTTAGTACAATACCCAATATAATTCGGTACAGCTTTCGATGTAAAAACCAACGTCGGGAACGTATGTATTTAGAAAAAGCTGTTTTACCGACGTCGATCAAGTTCCTCGACGTGTTTCACTTCACCTTAAAAAGCCAAACAGGTGGAGGGAGTTCGAGGAGGAATTTCGGGAATCGAGTTCTTTGCATCCGCGTGGTCGCCGATCCCTGGGAGGAAGAGGATTCGGAGCGCCCAGGGCCTCTCTTTCGAGGACCCTGAAAGATTGATGCCTCCCCGGGACGGACATCGGTGGAGGGAGGATAAAACATTCAGAAGAGTGGCCTCGCTTTAATTAGACAGCCGCGAGATTAAGAGTGCTCCAAATTGCGGGATTTATTATGGACGACGCGTCCCGGCCGTCCTTGATGACCGTCTCTGGGTCCGCCATTTTGGTCCCTGGCCGTTCCTCTCCCGCTTAAGGGGACATTTTATTTTTTTTCCTGCTAAATCTACCCCTTTTTTTCTCTTTTTCTCGCGAAGAAACTACTGCAACGGATCAATGTGAAATTCGGCATGTGGATTTATTGATATGTTACATATGTACAAAAAATGTGTATATGTAACATATCAATAAATCTACATGCTAAATTTCACATCGATCCGTTATAGCAGTTTCTTCGTCAGAAAATTAGAAAAAAGCGGTAAACTTAGTGAAGAAAATTTTTTGCACATATATGACGTATCAACAAATCTACATGCTAAATTTCACATCGATCCGTTTTAGTAGTTTCTTCACCAGAAAATTAAAAAAGCGGGGTAGATTAACGGAAAAAAAAAAAGGAAAATGCCTCCTTAAGTCGGGTAGTTTGTTTCAACGAATGCATGCATCGGGAAAATCCTGCATCCTGCTCCGTCGACAAGGAAGTACATATACATATACTCTTCCTCGTGGAGGAGGTTCCATCCTCAGGTTACGATATCCTCGATAAATCCGGGATCTCTCTTCTCCGGGAGAGCCGCCGATATCTTCGTAGGAGGGGAAAAGTCCCGCCGCAATTTTCCGGCATTCCGGGAAACTCGGCCCTCCCTCCTGGCGGAAGTGCATCGGAAGTGCAGCGCCTCGAAGGTTTAAGCCTTATTTACGAGGGCCGGCATCAAAGGGCCAGGTGCGCAGGTGGTGGGGAAATGTTTGCGGAGGATCCGCCGTGGGGGGGGGGCGTTATTGTGTTTTACGAGGCTCCACTCCTCGGAGCCGGAAACGCGACCGAGGAAACGGGGGAGGGAAAAGGCGACAACGTCCTGGTTATTAATCCGAAACTTTACGACCTGGCGTCTCCATGGACGCGCGTCCTTTCTTCGGGACCGGCGAACGAAGGCTTTTCGAGGATGGCCCGAGTAAAGCCGGCCCTCTCCTGTGCAAAGTGGGGCCAGATTAGAAAATGCAAAAGAGGGCGGAGGGAGGAGGAAACCCGGAGGAAGCGGCGCCGAGGGGGATGGACACATCCAGGAACCCGAGTCTTCGATCGCCGAGGCATTTTCGACCCTCCAGTTCTTATCGGAAGGCGTCCGGAAGGGAAAAGGGAAAGTGGAACTCCTCTCGATCGGGGACCGCGTCGCGCTCGTCTCGTTGGCCGACGTCGTCTCGCCTCCTGGTACTTACAGGTGTCCGCGACATGTCCCCCGTCTCGAGCAGAACGTCCCTCGGGTTGACGGCCTGGCCGTTTCGATCCCTCTAACGTAACCGCGTGTCCGGCATATCCGCGCCGGAACGGCCGCCAATCGGCCGCACGCCGACGTCGAGGCGGACACGCGGCGGTTCCCTTTGTCCCTTAATCCTGAGTCAAAATGATCTCCGTGCAATGCGTACTTGAACTCTCAAGCGCGTTTTTACCTCAAAACTACATTATTCAAATTGGCTGCCAAGTTTCAGAAAAAAGAAAAACTAGCGAACCGACCCTAGTAGCACAAAATATTTGTCCTATATTTTCTATATATTTAACGAATATCGTACATCTTGTAAATATTTAGCAGACATTTGAAATATTTGCAAAACGTTTACTTTAGAATATTATTGGACGTTCGCGGTGTTTTTATATGCGCATAAATTCGTAATATATATTCTACGGTACACATACCTATACATATATAAATATATAAATACGCATATATATATACCGTTATTTTTGGACATGCTGTAAATAGTGTTCTCGAGCACGCGTTCTTGTACGAAATAAAATCGAGAAAGCCGGAGGACGGTGAATTTTGAGCGTCTTTCCTAAACCAAGATGGCGGCTCAGGGTCGCGATTAATCGCATTGTTTCAGATATACGTCGGCGTTCCTCGCAATTTCGGAGGGAAGATTTCGGACCTTCCGGCGCAATCTCGACTCCTATCAGCCGGGGAGAAAAATCGAGGGAAGCTATCGCCGGGCCCCTTCTATCTGGGGCTCTGTAAATTTCTGCCTTATCGGCCGGGCAACGTCCCATTGTGGACGCCCCGGTGTTGAACTCGGCTTCCTAAGGTCGCACGATACCGCTGGAATGATCGACCCACCTTAACAAATCCCCCCCAAAGAGCAGGGGGGAGGATTCCTAGGAAAGCGAGGCAAAACTCAAGGTGAAGTGAAACCCCTCTCAAATCAGTCTATTAGAATAAAAACACATTTTTTTAAGGGTATTGGACCAAACGTTGACACGTGACTCGTGATCATCAAAGAGNATATCTTCGAATTAAATCTACCAGAGATGTTAAAAAATCTGTCGCTTGAGATATTAAGTAAAGATTGCAAAAAGAAATATTTAGAAATTATTCTATGCTACTAGGGTAGTCGCAGTTAGTAGCGAAAGGGTTAATGGTGAACGACTTGCCGTCGAAGAGACGCTCGGCGTCGTTATCGGGGATCGGAAGTCGACGAGAACGCCGACATCCGGATTACGCGGTTTTCTATTCCGCGGTGAAAAAAGGGAGGAAATTGAAAGGGAGGGAGAGGGAGGGCGCGGGTTACGCCGAGCACCTCGTAAATCAGCCTTAACGGCGAGCCCTTCGCGACGTTTGACGAGGTTTTCGAGTTTCGTGTCTTCTTTCCGCCCTCCCCGATATGGATTACTGCTTACCGGGGGAAAAGTTGTCCTCGTAAAAATAACGATAACTCCATTCCTCCTGGTGGAGTCAACAATGGGGATGGCTCCAACTTCCCCTTCGGTCGGGCTGACCTAATGTGTCCGTATCTCCTGCGACTCTTGCATAAAAAGAGATACGTCCTCGCCTGTCCGGCTTATCGAGAGTTTCCACTTTGGTTCCCTTAAGGTGATGTGAAAGTGGCACCGAAAAGGTTTTGTTTATTAAACTTTTATTAAACGTTTATTAAATTTTCCCTTATCGAAGGACGGACAACGAAGATGCGAGAGACGGGGTGGAGGGACCTAAGATTTTCCGGGCAAGTTTCCCCCTGTCCCTCTTCCTTCGCTTTTCCCCCTTCCCGGGTTCTCTTCCGGGCCGTGTTTGCCGTTTTCACTCGTAAACAAAGTCGAACTCCATGAAGCCATCGGTTATCCCGGGACTACCAAGCCGCGATAAAATCGTCTAGGAAGTTCACCAACAAGCAAGGCGTCCATCTTCCTTCGGCCATACCCCGGTTTTCGAGAGGGTCTTCTTCAGTAAGTAAGCTCTCCTTTCCGAGTGGATCCAAAATGGCGCCGGCGAGTCTAGTGTATTTATAATTTTTCTTCGAAGCTTCTTCGAGCCAGAACTTCGCGGGATCGATTAGAATGAATCGCCCTCCCTCGGGAGTATTTTATTTATTTACGTCTGCGTAATTCCTTAGGTCCTGTCAGTCCTAGTCGTGGCTATTTCCGTGGTAATCAGACTGCCATCGCGGCTGAAGGGTCGAAAATAACCAGATTTGATAAAAGGACCCCGCTACTGTAGTGACGCGAATGTTTCCGGTTTCCTAGAGGGTCTTTTTCGGTAAGTAAGTTCTCCTTTTCCATCGAACTCCGCGTCTTTTCGCTGTGGATCCAAAATGGCGCCGCCGAGTCTAGTGTATTTATATTTTTCTTCGAAGCTTCTTCAAGGCTGAAGGGTCGAAAATACCCATATTTGATAAAAGGACCCCACGATTGTAGTGACGCGAATGCTTCCGGTTTCCTAGAGGGTCTTTTTCGGTAAGTAAGTTCTCCTTTTCCATCGAACTCCGCGTCTTTTCGCTGTGGATCCAAAATGGCGCCGCCGAGTCTAGTGTATTTATATTTTTCCTTGAAGCTTCTTCAAGGCTGAGGGGTCGAAAATACCCAGATTTGATAAAAGGACCCCACGATTGTAGTGGTGCGAATGTTTCCGGTTTCCTAGAGGGTCTTTTTCGGTAAGTAAGTTCTCCTTTTCCATCGAACTCCGCGTCCCTTCACTGTGGATCCAAAATGGCGCCGCCGAGACTAGTATATTTATATTGTTTTTCGTAGTTTCTTCGAGACAGAATGTCGTGCGATTGATTAAAAAGAATAGCCTCCTTCGGGCGTATTTTATTTATTTACGTCTGCATAATTCCTTAGGTCCTGTCAATCCTAGTAGCGGTTATTTCCGCGCTAATCGGATTGGTATCACGGCTGACGGGCCGGAAATAGCCAGATTTGATAAAGGGGCCCCGCTATCATAGGTAGCGTGGCAGCAATTAAGAGAACCCGATTAAGTAACGCGCGATTTAGCATCCGGCGTTCTCCAAAATGGCCGCCGCAAGTCGAGATAGCCTCTGGCACGAATCGCCGCGGAGAGCGCAAACGACTCCGCGAAACGGCGGTGACGTTATCTCTTATTGACACGTAGAAACCGATAACGGACATTAGGCCGAGAAATATGCGCGACTCGGCTTCTTTTGTATACCTTGGCGATAACGCTACCGCGGAAACGAGTGCGGAGGACAACGCGGATTCCGGCGTTCTCTCGTTTCGGCTCGAAAGAGCGTTAACGACGACCTCTGGCGCCGGGACGCGGAAATACGCCGCCATTAACCCCGAGAGATTTCATTCCGCCTTGCAGAGCTCGTTCTTATCGGCACGCTTTGAAATCGCTAACGCGTCTCGCCGCGTCTAAACGCACTCAGGCTGGAAAAATACCCGGGAAGGAAATCGAGAGGCGGTCACGTCCGAAGAGCGGCCACTCGAGGGCGTCGCAAATGGCCGCCGGTGGAAAGAATAACTGATAGAGGATTGATAAGTGGCCAGCCTCGCGTTTTCTCCTGTATTACCGTAGAAGAGAAAGGCCTCGGGCTCGCTAAACTGTCCTCGATTGAAAGGACAAACACTCGACGTCGCCTCGTGTTTGTATACCGCGACCGGCGGCCGCCATTTTGGTGCCGTGAAGACGTGGCGGATATTTATTACAGAGAGTTTTAGGGAAGTAAGAGTCATTTGAACGTTTGCTCGCCTCTCTTCTGTTATTTTTAATGCATCTTTTGAAATTTACACATTTCGACGTCCCTCGCGTCGATGGGAAGTCCAGTCCCATTTCATACCGCGACAGGGTAGCCGCCATTTTGGTGCCGCGAAGACGTGGCGGATATTTACTACAGAGATTTTTAGGGAAGTAAGCGTCATTTGAACGTTTGCTCGCCTCTCTTCTGTTATTTTTAATGCGTCCTTTGAAATTTACAGATTTCGACGTCGCTCGCGTCGACAAGAAGGTCCATTTTCAAATCGTTCGCCGTGAAGTCGCGACCGTTTGGAAAAATTGTTCCACGACTCTACGTCGGCCATTGAGAGTAGCCGTGCTGGAAAAATCGGAGGTGAGAGCGCTGGATTTCTCGAGGCCGAATGCAAATGAGCGCGTCAATGGGATGGAAATCATAGAAATCATAAAAATCCCACAGATGGGGAATCGGCCGTGCCGACCGAGCGACGCGCTACCTGTCGGCTATCCCGACAGGTGGCGGCTTTGTTCCCTTATCAAGCCCCTCTCGGAAACGCGGCGTAAATGACGAACGTCAATTTATGAACGTCTCGGAGGGGGCCCTCGGCGAAGAAATCTGTCCGAGGAAAGGTAGACATCGTGGCATTAAATTTTCCCGTCGACGGCTCCAAATATAAGGGAATATAAGAAGCAATTGATATTGACGCGTCGCTCGGACGGCAAATGTCATTAATATCGAAGATGCGTTTCTTTGTCGTCTGTGCATGCATCTTTGAAAAGTCACTTCCGCTCCTCGGTCTAATGTCGGCCGCGAAGTCGTGGCAAATTTAAATCGTGTATCTCATTTTAGATATACTGAGGAATATCAATGGTGGCGCCGCATAGCAGAGCGAAGAGGAACTCACTCGAGGACTGATCGACTGCAGAAAGTATCGACTGTGGATGTTCAACATTGCGTCGGGGTTATTTTTAATTATACTCCGTTTACATTGTTTAAACATAGTATTTCTCTTCTCTGTACGATGTACTAGAGGATGTATAATAAAGAAATTAATTTGCTGTACAGGATATTTTTTGTAAGCCTTAGTATCTGTCGTTCCTCTGATTTCTAGCTCCTATTGAACCCGTCGATAGGCTAGGAAATGACTCTACTGGTCTTTTGGCAAAAAGTGAGATTTTCGGGGTGAGAAATGTAGCTCTGTAACAGGATCATAGGACAACCGAGGAGGTGGCACGAAACTCGGTGCCACCTCCTCGGTTATCCTATGTTCCTGTTAGAAATCGGAAATTTCAACCCCTAAAATTTTTGACCGTGGGAAACACCGTGCCACCTCCTCGGTTATCCTATGTTCCTGTTAGAAATCGGAAATTTCAACCCCTAAAATTTGGGCCCGGGAAAACTCCGTGCCACCTCCTTGGTTGTCCTATGTTCCTGTTACAAATCGCCAGAGATGGAACAGGATCATAGGATAGCCGAGGAGGTGGCACGACCATTTCACCGCGGCACAAATTTGGAAGGCGAGGATCCGACGTTGTAACAGGATCATAGGACAACCGAGGAGGTAGCACGACCATTTGAACCAGGGAAAATTTTTGAGAGCGAGAATTCGACTTTGTAACAGGATCATAGAACAATCGAGGAGGTGGCACGACCATTTCACCGCGGAAAAAATGTCGAAGGCGAGAATCCGACTTTGTAACAGGATCATAGGACAACCGAGGAGGTAGCACGATTATTTCACCGCGGCAAAAACTCGAAGCCGATAATCTGACTTTGTAACAGGATCATAGAATGACTAAGGAGGTGGCACGCAAAAATCTTCACACGTCTTCTCACGTCTTTTCCCGACTTCCTTCGTTTTTCCGCGTTGTTTCAGAAATGAATATTAACTTAGGTGTATGGGCGATTATTAAGACTCAGTAAGATGCGATTACCAGGTTCTCAAGACTTATAACTCTAATTAAATGCACTCATTGCTACATGTCGACCCTTTATTTATTCGTAAAGACAGATTACAGTATAGTTGCTCAATAGCGTGGGTACATCCATTCACAAACGCGTCTTAAAAATTAATAGTATATTGGCCGATCTTGTCAGCAGCTTCTTTTTCCTCTTCTGCTTGGGATCATCAGGAATTTCCGAGCATCTACTCCTGCTTCGTTGCGACGTGACGTGAGTGTGCTGCCTCGAGGCAGTGCAGCATCCTAGATAAGTTTGTCCTTGTTGCACTCGTTGATACTTAGCGGGTGCGAGAGAGACAGCCTGGTCTCTCATGAAGTGAACAGGGGAACAGATCGGACACGTTCTTGGACTCCTCTCTTAGATAATGCGCCATCCAATTGTCAGACCACGGATAAGGATGCGCGCTGACTTCTCAGTTTCTTGATCAGCTGTTCGCAGTTACCAGCTACGTAGTCTGTCACAAATATCGAGATTATGGAAAGCCAACCGTTAACCAAGGGCTCCGACAAGCCGCCGCCTTATTCCTCCATAATTAATCCCCAGGGTAAGAAGAAATGTTATTAATATGACCTACATGATGATACACACTTGATTTGAGGTTATAATTACCCCCGGCACTCCTCCTTGATACCGTTTAACAGGCAATCTCAAAAGTGCGGTGAAGTTTGCTTACGTAATGGGTGCAATTACTCCGTACAAGTGTACGGGGCTTATCTAATCGCAATCGATGATAATAAATGTTTTGGACGTTTGTTTAGAATGCGTTACCTTGCATCCACCGCCAGGCTACTATCCCAACACCGGAGTTACTAACTCGCAGGGCTATGGCGCCGCTCCTTCGACCACCGTCATCATGCCGGAGATCATCGTCATTGGCACCTGTCCGGCATGTCGAGTAAGCGAATCGTTAGTTGGTGAAAATAAATGGGATACTTCGAGACGCGTTTAAATATTGCGACAGTCTGTGCTTTCGGTGGATTGAAGTAATTAATTTATGAAAAACTTGCCGCTCGATGTCTCGGATCTGCATTTAATCTTTGGGAGGCTGGACTTTGTTTTACTTTCATATTAACCCTGTCTTACTCCAGCGAATCGCAGTCTTATCAGCCAAGTGCATTGTACTCGTGTGGTTACATAGAGCGCAGGGGGTATAATGTTGAAACAATTGACTCGTGACCGGTTATTATCACCAATATAAGATATTCTTGAAATAATAACTAATTTCATTCCAGGTCGGCATACTAGAGGACGACTACACTTGTCTGGGTCTGCTCTGTGCAATCTTCTTCTTTCCCCTGGGAATACTTTGCTGCCTACTGATGAAGAACCGACGATGTTCTAACTGCGGAGCGTACTTTGGCTGATCGTTCATGATGCTATCGAAGCAATACCGTGGGAGGGACGATCGAACGGAAATATTCCGAGTTGTTGGAACGCCCTTAGAACCTCAGGCAACCCAGGATGCTATGATCCAGAATTTAGTATTTATAAGATATTGCGCTGTCCTTCCAATTTTGTACTTGCTGCACTAATCGGCATCGTCCCTCTCTCCAAGCGATAAATCCTGCAGTCGATGCAAAAGCTCGACTGCTAGCTAATAAGTCAAAGACCTGGAAAAAATAATGGTCAGGTAATAGTTACTCTAAGAACAAAGGAAGGATACAAAGTACCCCTTTAATGTTAATATAATTAATTCATCGGCAATCTCGCAGGACTACCGTGCGCTTCCTTACGACATTGCCGAATGGAAAACTAGACCTTAAGCTAGAGTTTAATACGTACTATCTTCCCTTGCGACGCAATGCAAGGTAGGCCTAGTTGACTGCTTCGCAGTAACCTCGTTGAACAAATCTCAGGTACAATCTCCATGCGGAATCAGCTCCCATCGATGGAGACGGAAGTAGAACCGGTGGTTCCGATTCCTGAACGCCTACAAAGGGAAAAAGGAAATGATCTTAATTGTAATTAGGCTACCGTTCCTTGGAAACAAGTCGCGGCGTACGCGCCTTCCCACGCGTAGGTACTGTATACATTGTACGTAAATTCCGCAGAATTGTTGAATATATATTTTTAACGATAAGCTCTGAACGTTTGTGTTTCCCTCTTCTAGAATCTTAGGATACGAAAGGCGCTAAGGAATTTCATCTATACCCTTTTTGGGAGGAATGCCGTTTTGAATACTCAAGAGGTAACATAACCTGGCGCGTCCTATTAGCAACATTTATATTTATGTTGAAGTCTTTTACAGTCTACGCTGAGAATTATACAAATTAAAGGGTTCTATATGTCACTTCGGTGAAGTAATGATAAAAAGATCGATGTCAAACTGTCGAAATCCCATGAATTCATGACTGTTTATATTTTGACGAACCGACGTCGCCATCTTTGACGTTTACCTGCAACTAACTTTTTCCTCTAAAAACCTGCGTTAGCTGCAGGACAAGCCAGCATTCTTTTGCAATAGTTGGTGAAAGTATTAACCACATTTTCCCATCTGACTCTATAATATTTAATTTCTACGGTATTCTAAATTGTTCGAGCTAGGTCCTGAAACTCTTTCATTATCGATTCTAAGCCTCCAAGAAGCGTAAAACAGCGAAAACGTGCCCGGACCACGCCACGTTGGTTCTAGTCCATGATAAGTAAATAAATATTTCATGAAAAATGAAATTTCACGAGTTTCAGGACGTACCTTAGGGCCTCCATATCCACGTGGTAAAATTGAAAACGAATCGGTACAGCCACTTTATAGAATACTTTCCCCCACGATTTGACTTCTCAGATATACATAGGCTGACTTTTTTATATCCTCTTAACTGCTTCTAACTCGGTGCGACCGTAAAGAAAAGGAAAAAAAAAAAGAAAAGAAATCCTCGGTCTACAAAGGACCTCGTTTTTACGTTTCTTGAATGGAACGACGTACGAGCGCTCGCCGACCTTGTCGAGGAAACCAGCCGTGAAGGATTTACGTCATCCTCGTGGATTACATAGGCCTTAATTATTACATTAACCGTAACCGCTGAATTTCCGCAAGGTGCCGATTCCTCTTTCCTCGCGTTTTCCGCCAGGTCATCCCGCGATGAGGATTAGCGTCGCACTGCACAGCGAGAACAGCGTCCCCATGCCGAATTGCCGCAAAGTGGCTCCTTTGTTTCCCAATAGCTTTCCTTCCATTGGAACGACCCTGGACAATGGCCGATCGGTCAATCAACAAAGGTGAAACCACGGTCGGTCGACTTTCGTATGACTCACCTAGGAGATGCGCAACCAACGAGTCAATCTCGCGGATTTAGTTATAATTATTGGTTGCCCAGGACTCCTGAATTAAGGATCTCGCAATCCTCCTCCCTGGAGTCTCCGGATTATCGGCTAAAATCAGTAAATGTATATTAATATGATATACGTCGACAGGGGTTAACCTTTAACAAGGTGCCATTAATTGCTGATGAAGTAACAAGAATCGGAGGGACGCCGTAGCATAGGTGGCGTCGATTGCGTCCACACCGAAAGCGAAACCGGTGACGATATAAATTCATCGGCTTTCTTTATCCTTACCTTTATCTATTTTCGTTGGATTTCGGCCTTTTCCTAAGGCCTAGTACCATCTTTAATCGCCTTTCCGCGTGTCTTCTGGTGGATTTCTCGGGTCGCGAGAAATTCAAGATGGCCGCCGTGGCGTCCCTGCATCTGTAACCCTGGGACCTTCCTTGGCAAAACCTAGGCCAGAAAAGCCGGAAACTCAGACCCTAGTAAAAACTCTCGAAAGTTCACCTTGCGTGCGGAAATGGCCGCTCGGTATTTATGCAGAGTTTAGAATCGGACAGAAATCACGCCGCAGACAAGGACGGCGCGATACGCCCCTGGAGGCGGCGTAAAAAAGCGCAAACGAGCGGCAATTACCGACGTACGGGAGCGTTTAATGGCCCGAAGGTTTTCTGCAATGCCGCTTTACTTGGCCGGCGAGTCTCCTCGCATTTCCCTCCACGTTTGTCGTTACCCTTTACCTCTTGTCCGCGCCGATTCTTGAAGGAAAGTTCGTCGCATCCTCGCGAGCCGAACCGTTGCGTAGCCTCGCCGCGTCGCCGCCATCTTGGATCTCCTCGCTCTTCTTCGGCGCGAACGGAAACGGCGTTCTGGCGATTAACTGGAACTAAAAGGGATGTAGAACATTAAGAGGATATTAAAGGCGCTAAGATATCTAATCGACCTCGACAAAGTGAAAGCCATCTGTACCCTTTTTAGGGGGAATGCCGTTTTGAATACTCAAGTGGTAACATAAGCTGGCGCGTCCCATTACCGACATTTACATTCAACTTGAAGTCTTTTACAGTCTACGTTGGGAATTATAGGAACTGAAGGATTCTACATGCCATTTCGGTAAAGTAATGACAAAAAGGATGAATATAAAACTGCCGAAACCCCATGAATTCATGACTCTTTACATTTTGACGAACCGGCGTCGCCATCTGTGACGTTTACCTGCAACTAAATTTTCGCTCTGAAAACCAGCCAGCCTTCTCTTGCAATCTTTGGCGAAAGTATTTACCACATTTTCCCATCTGACCCTGATTTACCTGATAAGTAAATAAATTTTCGATGAAAAATGAAATTTCACGAGTTTCAGGACCTACCTTAGGGTCTCCATATTCCCGTGGTGAAATTTGAAACGAATCGGTATACTCAATTCAGAGAATGCTTTCCCCAACGATTTGACTTCTCAGATATATATAGGCTCTTATATATAATATATATACATATATAGACTCTTTCATATCCTCTTAAAGGGAAAGATATGAAACTTTAAAGAAAAGGATATAAAACTTCAATGTCATGTCCGTACCCAAAAGCAGGATAAAGTGGACTGACGAAATCAGAGGTGACGCGCTCGGAGATATGCAGGACGACGTCACGAGCCTTTTTTCGTGGAGAAAGAAATAGGAGGAGATTCGGCCTTTCCCGCAACTTCTGACGCACTGGAAGTCGACGAACCCTCCCAGGGAATACCAGAAATGACGGAATTTCCCCTTCCTCCATCCTGGACGAGGACTTTCCCCCATGACGAAGCTCGAGGGCGTTCATTGACCGCGTAAAGTGAAATTTTCATCACCCCGACTACGTCACCCGGAAAAATAGACACGTGAATTTTCATAAGAAATCCTTGCCAAAGTGGCAAATGAATTTCTCGTCCCTATTCAAACAAACGAGGGATATACAATTTATTCGTTGCTAGAAAAGGGTATTGCAACAACAAATAGAATTTCTGTTGCCCCGGTGAAGATATCGCTTTTTTGTTGTCAATAGGTTTGTTTGCGTTGTCACTTTCTACCCTCAAGGGTAACGAGGATACTACACTTTTCTTGAAAGGTGCCGAAGGTGTAGATACACTTTCGTCGACGTCCCGATCGCTAGGAAGCTCAATAATTGTAAATAAATAATTTGCAAATCAATACGTAATTTGTAAGAAATTATGATTGTACGATTATTCAAAGATTACGTACAAAGTTAAAACGCTAAATCGTTCTATACACGAAGAAAGTGTATTAATCATTATTTCCATTTATATTACGTGGAGATCTTGGGACAAACATTGTATTTACCGTTTGTTGGTCTTTTCAATTTTGAAATTTCCCGCCGTATTCCCGGCCTATTATAACATCTTGCACTAGCTCGGGATCGAGGGTAGAAAGTGTAGAGAAAGTGTACCCTCGGGGTAGATGCCCCCGCAAAACGACTAGCGCCATCTACGTCACACTTTTGTGTACATTTTTCGCAAAAGTGTAAAAAGTTTATGAAAAAGGAACAAACCTAATGTACGAAAATGGTAAAAATGTATCTGAACGAAGCTTCCGGCGGTTAATTTTGAAGCGTCCACGTTTCTTGGGACAGGGGAAAATGTTTTTTATTAGTAACAAGCGAAAAGGACCACCGAGAGACGGTAAAAAAAGCGAAGGAAGGAAGGAAGGAACTCGTCGAGATCTCCGCGCAGGCGAGGTCGTCGCCGGCGCATGCGCGGTGGGGCCCGCGTGTACAGGAGGACACGGAGCTCGGCCTTGGTCCATAACCTATACCTTATAAAGGTGGAGAGAGACGCGGCCGGCGCGGGCAGAAAGCTCCCGAACGCCGCGCAGTGACTAGCCCCGAAGATGCCGGCCAACGAGGGTGCTCTGGGGGAACCCATGGGGGAGACCGTGGGCTACGGGACGACCGAGACAGCGGAGCCGGTGTGCGTATCGGGCCCCACGAAGGGCGCGGCAGTGCCGCCCTCTGGCGAGGCCCTCCCGAAGGAGTCGAGCCGCGAGCCGAGCCCCGACAGAGCGCGCCGCAGTCTGCCCCTCCGAGAAGCCCACGAGCGCTTCCTGAGGGACTCCCTGGACCTCATCCTCGAGAAGGCTGTCTTCGAGGTCGGTAAATCGACCTTATCAAGGGATAATAACTTACTAGATATACATACAACTTCGCCGGCATGGCTCTTCGCGGTTACCCACTGAACACTAAACCTAACAGTTACATAATTTAAAACTAACAAATAACATAACGTTTGTTACAATGTAATAACCTAACAGTTACGTGACATTTGTTACAATGCAGTAACTTAACAGTTATCTGACATGGAGCTAACAGGTTAGATAACATTTGTTACTATCATATCCATATAAATGTAACATAACTTTGTTACTCTCATCTTACATTATGTTACTGTCCTGATATTACTGTGTATATGCAGCACATATTTGTAACAAAACCGAACTACATGGGTGCTGTCATTTATTTTATTACATCGTCGTCATCGTCATTGTCATAATTCATCGTCAAATGTCATAAGATTAATATATGTCATGTTTTGTTTACTACTCGTATGAAAAAATGTGACTAATTCATACGCGCATATACATTATCAGTCATTGTTTGCTAGTCGAGTGAAATCCTAATTGTCTTTAAGTAAAATCAGATAGTTTATCGTTGCGTAGCAAAAATTTCTCTTCAAAATGACATATAACATAACGTTAAAACATTTAATTTATGCGCGCATTTTTATATTTGAAAAAAATTCCGCAATCACTTATGCACCGACCCAATATTACCGGGAACGGAGTAGAAGTAAAAGAAAAAAGAAATATAGAAAATTTCTAATAGGTACGATCTAAGCGGAAGTGTACCAGTCGGAGGGATTTTTTCCGGATTTTTCTCCCCGTTCATGGAGAGCAAGAGAATGTGAAGGGGACGACAAACCGAGGCTAGGATAATGCGCCGTCGAGCCGGGTTCTCGACTTGCGTAAAAGTTTGAAAAGGATACAGGGAGGAAAGGGGGCAAAAGAAAAAATAAAAAGAATGGAAAATGACGTGTACGCGTTGCGTTACGGCGTTACCGTAAGGCGGTAGAGATCGACGCGGCCAGTGTTCGGCATAATTTTTAATGAATTAATTAAATCAACAGTACCAGGAATGCCTCTGTTGATTTAATTGCGCCATCCGGCGCCCTTTAGCAATTAATAAATGCATCTGGCATATGCATTAACGGTGCATTAAAAATGCATCCAGCTAGCCGCGGAGGTGGAGGCGCCGCGTTCGACTCGCCTAGACTACTGATTGACTTTTTGCGCCTAGTTTTTTTTTTTTTCGTCATCCATTCTTGTGCATTGCGAGGCAGGTCATTCAACGTTTCAACCCTAGCCTTGGATTGCACTAGCGGGAATAATCCGGGTTAACCTGGAGAAATTTGATTTTCAGGGTACCTCCAGACAGGGCCGAGTGGTGGAGTGGATGGAGCCAGGGCTGCTGCGGTCCATCCTGGACCTGAAACTCCCGGTGAACGGGGTGTCCCACGACGAGCTCCTCCGGCTGATAAGCCAGGTGATAAGGTACAGCGTGAAGACCGGGCACCCTCGGTTCGTCAATCAGCTGTTCTCCAGCGTGGACCCCTACGGACTGGTGGGCCAATGGCTGACGGACTCGCTCAACCCCTCGGTCTACACCTACGAGGTCTCCCCGGTGTTCTCCCTGATGGAGGAGGAGGTGTTGCGGGAGATGCGGAAGATAGTCGGCTGGAAGGACGGCCGGGGTGACGGGATCTTCTGTCCAGGAGGGTCCATGGCAAATGGCTACGCCATCAACCTCGCCCGCCACCACAGGTCGGCCTTACTTATAATCGAACGGGTCCGTTTAGCCTATCCTCGTGACTTCCACAGGAATAATTCCCGTTCGCGCCCTGGCGTGTCCTGTATTGGCCAAGAGGTCCATCATCGTCTAAGCCAGGTGATCCAAGGTCTGTTATTAACCGCTTCAGGTTCCCCGAGTCGAAGGAGACCGGGCTGGTAGGGGTTGGTCGTCCAGTGGTCTTCACCTCCGAGGACGCCCACTACTCCGTGAAGAAGCTGGCCGCTTTCCTGGGCCTGGGCACGAGGAACGTCTACTCGGTCAAGGTGGACCACCGAGGGAAGATGTGCCCGAGGGATCTGGAGGAGCAGGTGGCCAGGGCGATGGCAGAGGGGGCGGTGCCGCTGATGGTGTCCGCCACCGCCGGGACCACCGTCCTGGGGGCCTTCGATCCCCTCAGGGAGATCGCGGCGACCTGCGCCAAGTACAGGATGTGGCTCCACGTCGACGCCGCCTGGGGCGGGGGCGCCTTGATGTCCTCCAGGCACCGGCATCTCCTGGAGGGCGTTGAACTCGCCGACTCCGTCACTTGGAACCCCCACAAGCTGTTGGCGGCGCCTCAGCAGTGCTCCACCCTGCTGCTGCGACACCAGGGTCTCCTCCAGGCCGCCCACGGGATGCAGGCGACGTATCTCTTCCAGAAGGACAAGTTCTACGACACGGCATACGACTCCGGGGACAAGCACATCCAGTGCGGCCGCAGGGCCGACGTCCTCAAGTTCTGGTTCATGTGGAAGGCCAAGGGCACCAAGGGCCTCGAGACCCACGTCGACCGGGTCTTCGAGTTGTCCAGATACTTCACCAACCTGATCCGCTTCAGAGAGGGCTGGAGGCTCCTGCTCGAGCCAGAGTGCACCAACGTCTGCTTCAGGTACACCCCGCCGTCCATGAGGAAGCTCAAGCCTTCCGACCTCGCCAAAGCCCTCCACATGGTCGCGCCGATCCTGAAAGAGAGGATGGTCAAGAAGGGCACGATGCTGGTCACTTACCAGCCCATTCGCGGGGAGCCCAACTTCTTCAGGCTCGTCCTCCAGAACTCGGCCCTCACCGAGGCGGACATGACCTTCTTCGTAGAGGAGTTCGAGAGGCTCGGAAGTGATCTCTGAGACGAGCTGCGGATCCTGCAGTCTTCTCCGTGTACATATTGCGTCTAGTTTAGCACTCAAGGGTAGTCCATGTCGGATTAACCCGTCAATGTAATCGCCTTAAACGTGCGAGTTAATAAATGCATTAACGATAACTCGTTGACACTTTTATCCTCTCTTTGCTCAGAAACAGGGTTTTGGATTACACCAATTACCATGATTAATACCCGGGGAACGTTATATCTCGATCGATCCGGTAAAAAATCCCTGTCGAGCTTTCTTCTCTTCTTTTTTCCTTTTTTTCTTCTAACAGTCTGTACACCGTCTCACTTATCGGTCTCTGTATGTACACGGTGTCGTATGTAGCGTCTTGACATGTGACATATGAGTGATTAAATGATTGGCTTTGAGTTTTACGCTTTGTTGGTTAGTAAATGATATAGGTAGATAGATAGCGTGTCAGCCGAGGCGTGTAATTATTACTTTCCCGAAATTTATGGGACGAGTTTTCGTTTGAACGCTACTATATTACAGTTTCAACACAAGGATGTCGAAATTAATTAGATGTAAAGTCTACTAAGTAGCGCCAAGCATTAATGTCTCCTTCGATATGTAGGATCTACTTGCGACATCAACATCAATGTCCCGGATCATGGAAGCTAATCGATTACCGGTTGGTACCAACTACCAGATGTGGTAAAGATTTTTTGCGCAACTTACAATTATCCCCTTGTTTGACACGCCTTAGTTAACTCGGTCGAAATTAATCATGCGCGGGAATTCTTGACTTTGTCCTACCATTTCGCGTCAACGAGAATTCTCACTCATTTAGGACATTTGGACAAGAGAAAAGGAAATCAGTTAAGGTGGAGTGAAACACGTGGAGGAACTTGATCGACGTTGATAAAGAAGATTTTTCTAAATGCCTACGTTTCCGACGTTGGTTTTTATATCGACAGCTGGGTCGAATTATATTGGGTATTGTACCAAATGGCATACTCCACCTGTCGTTTCGTACAATTGCGCAACTTACAATTATCCCCTTGTTTGACACGCCTTAGTTAACTCGGTCGAAATTAATCATGCGCGGGAATTCTTGACTTTGTCCTACCATTTCGCGTCAACGAGAATTCTCACTCATTTAGGACATTTGGACAAGAGAAAAGGAAATCAGTTAAGGTGGAGTGAAACACGTGGAGGAACTTGATCGACGTTGATAAAGAAGATTTTTCTAAATGCCTACGTTTCCGACGTTGGTTTTTATATCGACAGCTGGGTCGAATTATATTGGGTATTGTACCAAATGGCATACTCCACCTGTCGTTTTCGTACAATAATTATAAAGAAATCGAAGTAAAACTCCAGAAATCCTCTGGATTCGTGCTTTCTGGGGCCCTAATTGACTGCAGAGGGACCCCCTGCGCCATCTGTGATTTCCAGGTCAATTAAATTTTCACTCCGAGACCTCGTATTACCATCGTTTTAGCATAGAAGCGCATAAAACACTTTTTTTGCCTTTAACTCGTTCAAATGCGAGTTTATCGACTACCAGAGTGTTCTAAATTGTCGTAAAATTGTCCTGACCCTTTCGTTTCTCATATCAGAGCCTTCGATAATTGGATATCGATCGAAATATGAGAGCTCGACGCCATTTTGCTTCTGGTCTGGGCCGAGTTAAAAAATTTGGCTAAAAAATTCAAATTTTCAATGTGTCAGGACAATTCTTAGATGATCAGGAGTGATGTGTCAAAGTTTCGGACAATTTGGTCTAATACCCTTAAAAGAAAATTGTATTAGAATCGACTGACTTGAAGGGGGTTCCACTTCACCTTAAAGTGTGAAGAATCGGTTGAAAAATCCCGGTCACGGGTTTGCCCGTCTCCGCAACGATTCCGCATATTAACGACTAGCTGACGCAAGGGAAATTGAAATTGCGTAGTTCCGCGAAGGGCGCTAGGGTAATAAGAAATACCCAGAAGACGAGGAAATTCTCGTTTGCCGACGACGTCGACAATTAACGTACCTTCGCGTCCCGAGTTTCACATGAGACAACATAGTCGGAATATTCTATTACACGTGAATTTTCTAAAAGAAACTAGTCGCTTTGCGGACAACCTTCTTCCCAGAGTATTAACATGATTTATTTGATTAGCCAAATGTTGCGGGTCGATCGACGACCGATTATCGCCCTGCCAGGATGTTGGCAGGACGATCGAACGGATCTTTATTTACAGAATCTCAATAGATCACTATATAGACCGGCAGTCGACTTAGCGATCCGGGCAGTCCCTCGACGAGGTTTCTTCAGGGTCCCAGCTCCGGGCGAAATCGCGCCTCGAAGATGCCCTTCTCGCCCCAGGTCTAACCTGGGTTTGATTATCTCGCGTACCATAGGGTACGCGGTCATCCTTTCTCGGCTCCAGTTTGCGTCCTTAGCTGTACTCCTCGAGGAACTTGACGTGGAACCGCTTCAAGCTGTCGAGCATGGTCTTGATCTTGTCCTTCTGGGGGAGAATGGTCGTCCTGAAGTGATAGGTCCCGGGTTTCTGTCCGAAACCCGAGCCGGCGATGACGCAGATGCCGGTGCTCTCTAGTAACTTGAAGGCATAGAAAACGTCTGGCTGCTGGCCAGCGGCTTTCGCAGCTTGGATCGCTTTTTCGGGCAGGGTGACGCGAGGAAAGACGTACATGGCTCCCATGGCCGGATTCGCCTGAAAAGTGGGAGTCAATCGATGCGCTTCTTAACATGAATACTGAATAATTGCAGGAAGCAAATGCAATACGGAGCCATTCTCTCCGATCATACCTTGATATTGGGAATACTGTTCAATGTATCTACGACCAGGCGCGACCTCTCGGCCAGCGACTCCAGGACGGAGGTCTTTTCCTTCAGGAACTGCTCGTACGAGGGCTCGCCCTTCTTCGGGGAGTTAACGACTACGTCCATGGCGACTTGGCCCACCACCGTGGGGCAGAGCATCGCAGAGATCGACTTGTGGAGTATCGCCAGGACAGCCGGATCAACGTTGATGATCTCAGTGTAGCCTCCGCGAATACCGCACTCGCCCATGTACCCTGGAATTAACAAAGGATTACCTATCGAGAAGTACAACACGGGAATTACTTAGTTCTTCCCCAGTTTGCTACTGAGTATATTTAAGCGAATCAAGTCTGGTCGCACCCTTAGAGATGGACATGAAGGAGGCGAGCTCCATGCCGGAGTAGGGCTCGCCCATCTCGGTCATGACCTTCTTCACGGCATGGAAGGAGCTGTCCTTGTCGTAGATATTGTCCTGGTAGACCTCGTCCGCGAGGATGAAGAGATTGTTCTTGTAAGCGAACTTGATGATGTCTTCGATGTTGGCCCTGGTCAGAACCTGGCCCGTAGGGTTCCCGGGGTTGATGACGACGAGGGCCCTCGGGTTGCAGGTCTTCTTGGCCTCCGCCAAGGAGCGCTCCAGTTCGGGGACGTCCAGCGACCATTTATTCTCCTCGTTCAAGTAATAACCGACCTGAGCCAGGCCGAATTCAGCCAGGGAAGCCGAATACAGGGGATACTGCGGAATCGGGATCATCACGCCCGATGGCTTCCCACCCAGAGGCTCGTTGAACAGCTTCAGGACGGACTGCAAGGTGGTTCTCCGTGTTAATAGGGACGCAACTTACAGTACATACGCATACGTAAGGATATCAATTAATCGGTACTTTGATCCCATCGGAGGCGCCATTCGAGAGGATGATGTTGGTGTAATTGCAGGGTAAGCCGTCGCGCTCTTGGATGTACTGAGCCACGTGCTTGCGAATGATCTCGATACCGGCCGACTCGGAATAGGAGCCGACACTCCCGCCTTTGCACCCCTTAAGAATATCCCTGGCTCTTGTCTTGGCATCCTCGGGGAACTTCGGGTCGTTCAGCAGGTCCGGGGATAAGGTCAGGGTCATGACTTGGCGCAGGAACGTTATGGGCTTCTGTCCCATCGCATGGGCGTCGCCTACATTCGCCTTGATCACCTCCTTGAATGGTTTCTGGGCACCCTGAAGAAAACATCCAAATTATTCTCGGGAAATTTCCGAGAGAATAATGAAATACAAATGAAAAACCATGAGAACGTTCTCTTTTTCTGTTGTTCGTAGCATATAAAGGTATAGACTATTGGTTGGATCCGAAATATTAAAAAATGCATATCTCTGTATTAATTGGGCCAATCGGTTTCGTTCATAGCTTAAAAAAACTGAGAAAAATCGTCCAATCTCGATGGCATTGTTAAAGTTGACTTTACTCATTCAAGAGATTCAGAAAACGACATTCATTTGACGCGCCAAGCTGAACATTGCAGATAATGACTGGGTCTGAGTTTCTTAATCGTATTTCCCTTATCAGCTTTCCCCAGGTACAATATCTCGGTGCACAGTCAATGTTTTTCAAAAATTTCATCGCCATCCGTCAGTAAATGGACTTTGGACGAGGCGCGTAAAAGTTAGGCTCCGAACCAGAGGAAGAGATGACATAACTGACCGGTTAATATCTCGCATGTGCATCAGGAGATTACATATCCGTCGAATAAAGACTGGAACGTTGTTCGGGACGTTCCTCGAATTTTTTCTACCGTCACGAGTCGTGGGAAAATAAATTTCCCGGAGTTTAGAAATTTTGCCTAATTCGAGAGAGTCAGCCTATATAAATTTCATTTTTCATGACAAATGTATTTACTTATCATGGACTAGAACCAACGTTGCGTGGTCCGGGCACGTTTTCGATGTTTTTACTCTTCTTGGAGGCTTAGAATAAAAAATGAAAGAGTTTCAGGACCTAGTTTGAACAATTTAGAATACCGTAGAAATGGAATATTACGGAGTCAGATGGGAAAATCTGGTAAATACTTTCACCAACGATTGCAAGATAATGCTGGCTTGTCCCGCGACTACCACGTGTTTTTAGAGAAAAAATTTAGTTGCAGCTAAACGTCATAGATGGCGATGTCGGTTCGTCAAAATATAAACAGTCTTGAATTCATGGGATTTCGGCAGTTTTACATCGATTTTTTTGTCATTACTTTACCGAAATGACATATGGAACCCTTCAGATCGTATAATTCTCGACATAGACTATAAAAGATTTCAACATAAATATAAGTGTCGGTAATGGGACGCGCCAGCTTATGTTCCCACTTGAGTATTCAAAACGGCATTACTCCCAAAAAGGGTATAGATGAATTTTATTTTATCGACGTCGATGAAATTTCTTGGCGCCATTCATATCCTCTTAAAGGGCTGAACTCGACCTTGAAATTTGATCCCTATGACGCAGGTGAACTCGTTAAAGCGCGGTACACGACGATTAATTGCGAGTCGCGGTGTCGGGGGAATAAATTCACTGTCGTCGGTGACTGTACGGTCAATATTGTGACGAATATAGGAATGAAGCCTCGGTAAGCCGTTCAATACTTCTATCTCAATACTATCAAAGCACAGTACAGCGACTGATAATGCAAGGTACTGATACTCTCGTTACCCAGGTGTCTAACAAACGCGTCTAAATTGTAAGTTTAAGTAATTCCCCCAACGAGCGTCGATAAAGTAATTAACACAGTGTTGTAAGATAATTCGACGTGAAGTACAACAAGTCGGCCCGATTAAGAGCATACTCAACATTACTCGTCATTGACTTATCCCCGGTCACCCGATAACGCGTAATGCATGAGGTAATGACTGCACCTAGACGCGACTCGGCCTAACTTCCGCACGAAAAAATCGCAACCAAGGAAATACCGAAACGTCAATACTCCTATACCCTCTAGGAACTTATCTCTCGATATCCTAATAATTACTATCACGAGTGTGGTTAGTTTCACGATTAAGTGGACTTGGAGAGAGAAAGGGAAAGCGTTCATACGGAGTCCGTCAAGTGAACCGGTGTTCGAAAGCGGCGGCGGCCATGACAGTCGCGGCAGCCAATCAGCGCGCGGCGTTGAGCCGGCCGACCAATCAGAGCGCTCGGCGACTGTCATGGCGGCGAGTCGCAGCGGTCACTTACCTTCTCGAGCTCCTTTTCGATCTCCAGGGCGCGGATGAGCAGCGGCCCGCGCACTGCGTACTCCATGCGCCGCAGGTTGGAGAAGACGTTGTCCTCGCAGAGCACCCGCTTCCTCTTGGCCTCTGTACTCGCCATGGCGCGGCCAGCGTTCGGCTCGGTCGGCTTAGCCTGCACTAGTCGACGACCGTGGTCGGGCGCACCTACCGCTGTCGCGGTTTCCCTGGCCTGGCTCGCCCCTGCCCCCGCGCCCGCCCCTAACCTCCCACCGCGCTTCCAGACCCGCGGCCGAGTCGCGATCGCGAGGCCCCCGAGACGCGTGTGCGACATCGCGGTTTCCGCGTAACGGTTTTGTCTTCCCTCGTTCGCGGTCCTCTCCGATCACCCGGAGAGTCGAGCTCGATGCAAAATGGCCGCCGCGACTCTGCGCGGTCCCTTCAATCTCCGGAATACCCCGTGAGTGCTCTTGGCGGAGTGACGCGCGCGCGCACGTGCGACCTGGCGTCGCGACGCTCGTCCCCTCGTTCTGATATTCCGGCCCGCGGTGGTTCGCCGCGTCGCCGTCGCGCGCGGTGGTGGCGCCACCGGCAGGTCCTGCAAACAGAAGGAAGATGGCGGCTGTCACTCCTGTCGAAAGAGACTCGGACGGATTATTTAAAATTACTCTTACTTTCTAACTCTAACCGCAATTATATCCTAATAATTATCGGGAAATTTCAGATTTCCCCACAATTAGAGTTTTCACACCTTGGGGAGGATCTTTTTAGCGGATTTCTACTGGATCCGGTTAGGCTTATAAGTGACGGCAGGGTTCAGCGGTCGTCCGATAGATGGCACTGCGCGGGCGGGAGTTTCGAACTTACGAAATGTCATTTATACTTGTTTGGAGATATAGTCCGATACAAAGAGGGGTCTTTCCGCGATAAATCCACACAGTATTAAATGCATCAGTGTTGGTAGGAATGAATTGTATTAATCTCTGTTTACGGAAGGTATTACGCCATGACGATAACGCCGTCGCTGCATTTCGAGGCGCTTCGCAATAGAGATACTTTTTTCTTAGTGGAAATTAAGCCTTGAGTTCCTGGCCCCTGTGTTCATGACGTAGGGCCTTGGACCTGCATGACCGTTGTACTCTGCTGGATATTTATTAAATTTAAAACTGGCACGGGTCAGTCGAGCCGTCGAGTAATCACGGACGGAGAATCGATAACGATAGAGGCCGAACTACTAATACCGAATTTTTTATCGGATCCCTCGCGATAACGTCACATTTTTCCCTCGTATATATATTTCTTTCGACTCCACCTCAACTCAAGAATAGACCCATAAGGAAAAGAGAATGAATTCTCATTCGGGAAATATCAGAAGATCCCGAAATCCCGGAAAATTAACGCTGGCGATAATGAGCCAGATGGCGAATCGTCGTGGAAGAGAGAGAGGGAGATTTTTCAACAATCGACCTCGGTTGACCGGAATTTATTAATAGTTCGCCTTGTCTTTGATTCTCTGAAGGAAAAGTGCCAGATACCTCGAGTCTTGCGTAAGGTCAGTGCTTTTCGGCGCTCAGCTGATCGCCCCCTCTAACCCACTGGGTATTAAGAGCGCCTAAAGGCGCGCGACGTTAGGTCCAATATTGCCTGCCCGGTCATACGAATTTCGCCCATATGTCGGAATGGCTCCATATTCAAAGGGACACATATTCTCCGTATACATTTCCACAAGGCGCGATCTGTGCGGCAAATCCATGATTTTCTAATAACACTTTACCGGTATCGACCTAAATTACTCCATAAATACTACAAAAGCGAGTGTTTTGTTCCCTGGCACTATGCCAAGACCTTCCTCGAGAGTTTTCCCGGTTTCTGCTCGGAGGAATGTCAACAAAAAAAGAAAAAATCCGAAGAAAAATCAGCCGAGCTAATGTCCACTATTGTCAGAAAGCAAAGCGGATTTTTAATCCCAACAATGTGCGTCCCCGAATTTTAATTATTTCAAAGCCCTTCCCGGGAACAATGGTCCCGAAATTCGAGGAGTTTTATTTTCAGCGAGCCGAAATTATGTAACGAACAGCTCCACGGATTATGTAAATTCTCACGAAGAAGACTCCGCCCGTTCCTCGGGAAAACCTTCGAAGTTACCCTTTATTAAAATGTATAAATTATTTATATATTATATAAATTATATCCCTGCCAACGCGCAAAGAAACCCTCGATCGAGATTAATTACATGGGAAAGTTACTTTGTCTGTGATAATAATGGTACCTGTTAGTGCTCCGTAATGACGATGAGGCCGCCACTAGAAAAACACCGACGCGGTTATTTCTTTTTTTCTTTGCAGCTTCCTCGTATTCGCTGCAACCACGGGGTTGCGTTCGACCGGTTCGCGTCCACGAACTTGTCTGGCCGTGTGACATCTTGCCGCTTATTTACATACTTACATCTCGACAATATATAGCCCCTCCGCTTCTCGAAGTCGCCGAGGAGCCAGAGAGGCGCGAAGATCGATTTCATTGGTCCCTCCCCAGGCGGTAATTTCAACTTCGCCCCTCGATTAAGAGGATATGAAAGAGTCACTAGAGGCTGAGAGGAAAGAGTCTAAAAGAATATGAAAGACTGTTTATATTATGACCGACGTCGCCATCTGTGACGTTTAGCTGCAACTAAATTTTTCCTCTAAAAACACGTGTTAACCCCCGGACAAGCCAGCATTATCTTGCAATCGTTGGTGAAAGTATTTTCCACGTTTTCCCGTCTGACTCTGTAATATTCTATTTCTACGGTATTCTAAATTGTTCGAGCTAAGTCCTAAAACTCTTTCATATTTATTCTAAGCCTCCAAGAGGCGCAAAACCATCGAAAACGTACCCGGACCATGCCACGTTGGTTCTAGTCCATAAGTAAATAAATCTTTGATAAAAAATGAAATTTCATGAGTTTCAGGACCTACCTTAGGGCCTCCATATTCCCGTGGTGAAATCTGAAACGAATCGAAGAATGAAAGACCACTTGAGTATTCAAAACGGCATTCCCTCCAAAAAGGGTATAAATGAATTATACTTTATCGACATTGATGTAATTTCGTAGCGCCTTTCATATCCTTTTAATATTTTTCCCGCTCTATGGATTCGCCTACTCCGGCTCCATCTGGTGGGAAGCTGGCGAAACATCTCCCGAAAGAAGAAACCCATCGAGTGCCCCATTTACTCGTATATCTGTGGCCTGGAAGAACAAAAAGGCCTGGAAGCGTTTATTGCATTAAAGAAACTACTTGTTTTTATTCCGTCGCATTGCCTTTAATAACCTGACCAACCTCTAGTTTAAATGGTTAATAATAATATATATATAGCAAGAGACGCACGCGCGAGCGGCCGCCATCTTGTTTCCAATTTAGAGCTCGCGTCTACGTCTACGTATGTACACACGGGTATAGGGAACTCTTATTCGTTAGCCTTAAAATTTATTTCTTGGACGGGATCAGTTTGATATTTGCACAATCTGTGTATATATATATACACACACACATACGTGTATACATATATATATTAACAATCGGTTGCTCTCCTTTAGTCAGCTCGATAAAAAATACACAAAATACTGACATATGTATATTTATATATATATATATTATTATAATAATCGTTCCGACGCTCTGGAGCCCTGCCCAGGTCGAAGTCAATTGCAACGTGAAATATATATTTATTTATTTATTTATAGAACTTTCTTTATAATTATTTGGGCACCGAGGCGAGCCGAAGCGTCGTCCCTCCGCGTTCTCCAAAATGGCGGCCGCCGAAGAGCGCCGTCCGGGACGCAAACTTGCTCCGATATCGAGTATCGAAACTCGGGACAACTTTGCCTCCATTTAGGACCGAAAATTTCCTCCCTTTTTTTATAATTAATTAATCCCTTTCCCTCGAAATTTCGCTATCTCGGCGGAAAGTCGAAGCTTCGATGGCCTCGTCGTTTTAGCCTAGAGAAAAATAAAGAATGTACAGTACCGTCGGTACGGCCGATCAAACGTGCTGAGCGTTGTTGACACTTAAGGAGGAGACATTTGTATGTATATATATATATATAGAACTATTGGTCGTTATAACACCTATAATAATTAATAATGCTTAACAGGGCGCGGACGCGCGCCGATTGGTTCGCATTGCAGGAGTCCATTCACCATTAAAAAAAAGAAAAAAAACGAACAAACAATCGAGAAGACCAGGCCTCCATCTTGGTACACGGAGCGTTTCTTCGGAACTTTCCTTTTGCAATTCAGATATTCAACGACCCTTTGGTGGTTTCTCACCTGGAGACGATTAACAACTACCGATTCAACAAGGTGGATAAATAATCAAACGAATTCACGTTAACCCTTTGGCTAGTAAGAGCGCCTAAAGGCGCCCGACGTTTGGTCGAATATTGCGTGCACGGTCAGACGAATTTCGCCCGTATGTCGAAATGGCTCCGGGTACAAAGGGTTAAGCGTCAATAAAAAAAAGATAAAAAAATATATATATTGCAAATAGAAAGTTCCCAGCAACATTGGCCGATCCTCCCCTCGAGCCGAGGACGAACCCGAAAATCCAACCTGGGCGACGTCGCTCAATAAACCTATTTGTTTATTAACGTATCTACTTATAAAACTGGTCCCGGGAGTCGCGCGGGGCCCGCGACCATATACATATATAACTTTATATATATATATATATATATCTTCTATACACACACGTACACTTTGCTCCGCGATATTAATAAAAAATATTTCCTCGCGTTATCACTGCCCGCCTCGGGCCGTCCCGAGGCCGATAGGGAATGGAATGTGTTTGCATAATTATGGTACACGTCATACAACACTTGGGGAACCCACCGTTCGCGGTTACCTTTATATATTTACAAGACTTACAGATCACGCCCACGGGACGCGGGGGACATGCGACTCTATTTCCTATTTATATTTTTTTATTTCCCTTTTCTCTCATCTCTTGTGGTCCGCCAATCGATGATGGAGAACGATGAAGCCTCTCCGGGAAGACGAGCGAGAAAAAAAAAAAAGAATGAGGGAGATTGGACGGAAACGCCGAAGAGAGACCTTGACACCTGGGGAATGAATTCAGGGAGGCAGGGGTCGCGATTTCCCTCCACCCCGGTCCCGGGGGTTAAATTAATAGTCGAAATCCATACCGAGGGTCGAACTTCGAGGCTCTCATTCTAGCTGCCCATCGAAACGCGCAGGCTCTTCCTCGAGGACTCGAGAACCTAGTGGTTAAGATCTAAGATACCTTCGTTTACCTTCTCGAAAGCCTACCTCGAGAGCGAATCCACGTGCCGAGTCTCGGGGGGATCGCGCAAGAGGAAGGCGGCTCTTCAGAGTCCTCTTCAGGGTCCTCTTCAGGGTGAAGGAGCCTCGAGGTTCTTTCGAATCGATTCCAAACGTCTCTACGCACTCGGGCTGCTCTTCGAGGTCTCCTTTCCACCTAGCACTCGGACTTGTCCTCCTCGACCAGCTGCTGGGTGTCCTTGCCCAGGTCGATGGGCGTGGGGTCGAGCTCGCGCCTCTTCAGGTGCAGCTGGGGGGGCTCTTTGTGCTGCACGCTGGAGGGCTTGACCTCGGCTGGGACCTCGTAAATGCTGCTGGCCCCGGTACCGTTGGTACCACCGGTCTCCATGTTGACCGCGTCGTACATGGGGTTGCTGAAGTCGCGGTTCTTGTTGCTCACGTCGCTCAGGTTGTACTCCACGTCCAGCGGTTCCTGAAACCCGGGAGAACGCTTCGTCAGTATCCCGACGTAGACTTGACTCCGACGGTCACCCCTGAAGAAGCCTACCATCCTCTCGTTAGAAGATCCTCCGAACTCCACGTTGCTGCCTTGCCTGAAGGACACGCTCTGGGCACCGGTCAATCCCCCTAGACCTCCGGGTTTTCCGCTGTAGAATCAGGTAAAGGGTTAACCACGATCCCGAATCTCCCAGGAGAAGAGGACAAGGAGGAACGCTTACAAGGGCCGTTTCTTCAGCACCAAGATGACCGCCGCGGCGCCGAGGAGCATCAGGATGGCGACGACGATCGGCACCACGATGGCGGCTGTGGAGCCCCCGGCCCTGGCGGCGACCAGGCCGATCTCGCAGTACCTCCCCTGGAAGTTGTGGGGACAGAGGCAGAGCATCTCATCCTCGCTGGCCTCTGTGCAGACCCCGTTCTGGCAGGGGCATACCCTGGGTGCGGGCCTGGGCCTCTCGGCCGGGGCGTCGCAGACCCTCTCGCCGACGAAGCCCGGTTGCTTCGTCCTCGTGTTGTCGGGGCACAGACAGGTGTAGCCCCTGGGCTTGATGACGCAGAGGTGGGAGCACGGGTACCCGGAGCAAGGGTTCCTCAAGGTGGTGTTGTACCTGAGCGGGTGGTACACCTTCAGGTCGCTCTGCGTCAAGATGTCCTCGATCAGGAGCTCCTTGACGCCCCTGCCGAACTTGTCCTGCCGATAGAGCTCGCCCTCCATCGTCACCCAGTAGAGGCTGCTCTCGAAGACGTCCAGGAAGCCAGGGTGTTTCGCATTTTCCTTCGACATAACGATCCTGCGGTTCGTGCCATCGGGCCTGATGGACTCTATGGTGTTCAGCTTCTCGTCCGCCCAGTAGATGGTGTGGTCCATGGCGTAGTCGATGGTCAGGGCCCTGGGGGAGGCGATCTTGTCGCCGACGAGCGGCTTCCGGTCGCTCATCCCGTCCATCCAGGCAGCCTCGATCATCGGCTCCGCTCCAGTGTTCGCCCAGTACAGCATCCCCTTCTCGGGGTCCACCGCGATCGACGTCGGCGTCTCGATGCCCTCGGTGATGAGGCTCCTCCTGTACCTGCTGTCCGACTTGGCCACCACGATGCGACCCTTTGGCAGGGCGCCGGAGTTGTCCACCTCGGTCCAGTACAGGTTCTCGGCCACCCAGTCCACAGCTATACTGGTAGGCCAGGCCTTCGCTGCAATTCCAAGTACATAGTGAGACCTAACTATACTTCCTACCCTATGAAATTTCAATACAACACCCTGGAGACCTACACTTCGTCTTCAGATCCTGCGCGTAGCCCTTCTTCACCTCGCCGTACCTCGCGTTGATCATGTACGACCTCTTGATCGTCTTGTCGTAGGAGTCGATCCAGTATATGTACTCAGCCCTCGGATCGAAGTCGATGGACTGGACCCTCTTCTCCTGGGTCAGGACGTCGGTGACCTCGCGTTTGTGCAGGTTGTAGGCTCGGATCTCTGATCCGTCCCCGAAGACCAGCACGGAGTCCTCGTCGTCGGCCCTGCAGACGCCGCTCTGGTTGTCGGTCAGACGGAATCCTTGCCGACAGGAGCAGGAGTACGTGCCGTTCAGGTTAGCGCAGAGCTGCGAGCAGTGGTGCTGCCCGGTCTTGCACTCGTCGATGTCCTCGCACTGCTTCCGGTTGTCCTGGGAGATGATGTACCCAGGGTAGCAGGCGCAGATGTACCCGCCCTCGGTGATGTTGTGACAATAGTGGGCGCACCCACCCTTGTTGCCCTCGCCGCAATGCTTGTTCGGGTCTGAAAGATTAGAAAAGGGACACCTCGATGACTCGTCGTCCAGGACACGTCCTCCACGACTTCAAGGACCACTTACGGCAGCCCAGCTCGTCGGAGGAGTCCCCGCAGTCGTCGGCATAGTCGCAGACCTTGTGCCGGTCTATGCACTTCTTATTCGCGCACTGGTACTCCGTGATGATGTCGCAAGGTCGCACCCTGGTCGCGCACATCGTCATGTTGTTCTCGTCGGAGCCGTCCCCGCAGTTGTCGATGCCGTCGCAGAGCTGGTACCGGGCGATGCACTTGTGGTTGTTGCACTGGAACCGCTTCTTGGTGTCGCAGACGAAGTTCGCTGTGACGAGAAAGACATTTCTTATTACTTCCGCTCATCTTCCTCGCCTTCTTCGAGGTACCGGACCCTCCACTTACCGCACATCGCGAGAGTCTCGTCGGAGGCGTCGCCGCAGTCGTCGGTGCCGTCGCACCTGTCCGAGAGGGAGACGCAGAGGTTGTTGGCGCACTGGAACCTCGACTCGGGACAGTACCTCCCGTTCGGGTACCTGGGGGAGCAGCCGACCTCGTCGCTCATGTCCCGACAATCCCGCGTCCCGTCACAGGTCAGGTACTCGGGGATGCAGTGTCCGCTGCTGCATTGGAAGGACAAGGACTGCAAAGGAAGAAGAATGATCACAAGGAGCTCCTTCGAGGAGTCCTCGGCGACGTCCCTAGCCCCGGATATAGGAACCCACCATGCAGACGAAGGTCGTGCACTCGATCTCGTCGCTGTTGTCCCCGCAGTCGTCCTCCATGTCGCACCTCCACCTCGAGGCGATGCACTTCCCGTTGTTGCACCTGAACTCCGACTCGGAGCAGCTCCTGTACTTGGACTTGCAGATCGCCTCGGCCTCGTCGCTCCCATCGCCGCAGTCGTCGGCAAAGTCGCAGAGCCATTGTTTCGGGACGCAGCGATTATTGGCGCACTTGAAGTCGGACTCAGGGTCGCACTTGGGGCAGCTCTCGGGTCGTTCGTCGGACCCGTCCCTGCAGTCGTCCTTCCCGTCGCAGAACAGCCATTTCGGGATGCACCTGTAATTCGCGTGACCTGGACAACGCTGCCACCCGGTGGTGCAGTTCTTCTGCCGACACATGTAGGCGGGCTCGTCGCTGTCGTCCCCGCAGTCGTTGTCGAAGTCGCACATCCAGAGCTTCGGGATGCACTTGCCGTTCTTGCACTTGAACTCGGTGTTGGGGTCGCACTCTCTGTTATCTATCGATAAGAAAGAAGAAAATGGCTAGAGGAAGGGCCTCTCTTCGTCAAACCGGGAAGAGAGAGTACACGCACGACAGATCGCGGGGTCCTCGTCGCTGCCGTCCTTGCAGTCCGCGTCCCCGTCGCACTTCCACGAGTCGTGGATGCACCTGCCGTTGGACTTGCACTTGAACTCCAGCTCCGGACAGTCGGCCGAGCAGTTGGCCTCGTCGCTCCTGTCCCCGCAGTCGTCGGCTCCGTCGCAAACCGTGGCACTGGACGTGCAGTTTCCATTGGTGCATTGGAACACCCCGGGCCTGCAGTTGCGAGGGTGGCAGCTGATGGGCTCGTCGGATCCATCCTTGCAGTCCTGCTCGCCGTCGCATCTGCGGGAAATCCGACATATAGAACGACAGTCCGCGGTCCCGAATCATTTACCAGGACTCACTTCCAGAACCAGGGGATGCACTTCTCGTCAGGTGGACCGCAGTGGTGCTGGCCAGCGGTGCAGTTGGCGATGCAGGTCTTCCCGTCCTTGTCCAGGACGAACTGGTTGGGGCACTTGCACTTGTAGGAGGTGATGCCGGGCTGGCCGTACCCTTCCAGGAGATAGGAGCTGGCAGGGGGAGAGATCAGGCACAGGTGAGAGCACCCTCCGTTGTTTTGGGCACAGGGGTTGTTGTAAGGGAGCTGGCGAAGCGGATGGTACACGTGGATGTCGTAGGGCCTATGAGTGGTGTTCCTGAGGAGCCTCAACTGCGCCCCGGAGAACTTCTCCGCCCTGCTTATCGCCTTCAGGTTCCAGTCGGTCCAGTATATGAAGTCGTCGAAGACGGTCAGGGCGAAGATGTGCGGCACCTTCGGACCCGACAGGACGATGCGACGATGATGACCATCCAGGTCCGCGAAAGCTATGTAATCCAGGTGAGCATCCGCCCAGAAGATCCGGTCGGTGAAGTAGTCGATCGTCAGGGCGTTCGGCCAGGCGATGTCGTCCTCCCAGGTCAGGATCGTCGTGAAGTTGCTGCCGTCCATCCCCATCTTCCCGATGTACGCCTGGGAAGGAAGTAACACGAGGTAGTCCCTAGAATCTAGTCTCCTTATCCTTGAAAGTCCCGAGGAAAATCTGGGAAATCCAGTGGGGTACCTGCAAGTGCCAGGAGGTAAAGTAGAGGTACCCGGTGCCGGGATGCACCACGATGGCCCTAGGGTCCGCGATCTCGGACTTGAGGGTCTTCCGGTTGGTCCCGTCCAGCTCGGCCACGTCCAGGTGTTTCGAGTGCCTATCCAGCCAGTAGATCTTCCTACCGACCCAATCTATGGCGATGCCCTCCAATCCGTGACTGTCGTGCCGGATGATGGGCTCCTTCTCGCCTCCGTTAAGTGGAGCTCTGCAAGAACGGATACCTCGGTACCGACTACCTTCTTACCACCAGGTTCATTAACCTGGCGCTTCCTCCTCGTACCTGTATATCGTCTTAGCCGTGACGTCGCAGAAGTAGAGCATCTCGTTCGCGTAATCGGCGTCCAGGGCGACCACGTTGATCAGGTCCTGGTGCATCAGGCTATACCTGGTGGCGTCGATGGACATGTTCCTGACGTAGTACTTGTTGGTGAAGATGAGCCATGGCTCGGAGTTGTCCCTGCGTTTGCAGGTGTGCTCGTCGGCGGCCCTCTCGTACCATTTCTCGTTGCACTTGCAGTAGAACCCTCCAGGGGTGTTCTCGCACTGCTGGCTGCACACCTGGGGAGTCTCTATGCACTCGTCGACGTCCGCGCAGGCCTTCCCGTCCTCCAGGAGCTTGTATCCAGGATTGCACTCGCAGTAGTAACTCGTGGGCGTATCCACGCAGTAGTGCCCGCACTGGTTCAACTCCACCCTGGCGCACTCGTCGACGTTGCAGTGGGCAGGCTCGTCGCTCTCGTCGGCGCAGTCGGGCTCCTTGTTGCAGACGAGCCTCTGGTCGATGCAGCTTCCGCTGGCGCACATGAACTCGCCCTGCTGGGCGCAGGTATTGTTCTTCCCCTTGGTAGCTGAATCGAAGGGCGACATTAGTGTCCATCGATCGACCGTCCACCACCCATCGATTAGCGATAAAAGACTATTTTCTTAACAATACTCACGACACCCGACTTCGTCCGAGCGGTCCCCACAGTCATCTTGCCCGTCGCAGCGGAACTGCCTCCTGATGCACTTGAAGTTCTGGCAGGTGTACTCCAGGGTGGTGCACTTCTTGTACTGGGTGTTGCAGAACTTGCCCTCGTCGCTGCCGTCCCCGCAGTCGTTGTCGTGGTCGCAGAGCCAGTTTCGATTAAGACACCGGCCATTGTCGCAGGTGAACTGGTTCTCCGCACAAGGTGTAGGCTCCGGGCAGTGGTGCAAGGTGACGTTCTCGTCGGCGCCGTCCACGCAGTCGGGGTCTCCGTCGCAGAGCCACTTTTTAGGGATGCACTGCGCCCGGTTCCAGACCTTGTTCGCCGTGCAGGTGAACTCCGTCTCCTCGTCGCACTTCCTGTCGTCTGAAAAGGAATGAGAGACCCACCGATCACCTTCTGGACCACCAGGAGGACCAGGAGATGACGAGCTAACGCATTCCACTCACTGCACTGGTGCCGGTCGTCCTCGTCCGAGTTGTCCAGGCAATCGTTGTCCCCGTCGCAGATGTAGATCCTGGGGATGCAGTTCCCGTTGTCGCAGGTGAACAGGTCGCCGAAGCAGGTGCGGCCCTCCGATTGGCAGTAGCCAGGGGGCTCGTCGCTTCCGTCGAGGCAGTCGTCGTCCCCGTCGCAGTACCAGGTCGCTGGGATGCACCTGTGGTTCGGGCACCTGAAGCTGTTCTGGGGACAGGTGCGCTGGGCGCAGTGCAGGGGGTTCTCGTCGCTGTTGTCCCCGCAGTCGTTGTCGCCGTCGCACAGCCAGTAGGGCTCCACGCAGATGTTCGTCTTCTCGCACTTCAGGTGGTTCAGGGGGCAGGTCGTGTTCTGGGGACACCGCTCGTGCGTCTCGTCCGAGGTGGCGTTGTCCTTGCAGTCGTTCACTCCGTTGCATACCTGCGACTGCGGGATGCACCTGTGGTTCGCGCAGGTGAACTCACCTGCGGCGCAGGGCGGGTACACGCAGCCCTCCTCGTCGCTGCCGTCCCGGCAGTCGTTCTCGTGGTCGCACTTCCACGACTTGAAGATGCACCTGCCGTTCCTGCACCTGAACTCGTTCGGGCTGCACGAGTGGTGAGCTGAAAAGTCCACCATGAAAAGGTGGAAGATATTTATGAAATTCCCCTCCACCCTGAGAGCACCAAATAATTATGAAACCTTGACACGTAACCACGGAGGTCCTGAAATTCGCGAGATTTCATTTTTCAAGAAAAATTATGTATTTATTCCGGACAAGGAGCAAAGAAATAATTTTTCTTTTTTTTTTCGAAAAATGAAATTTCCTGAGTTTCAGACTTTCATTATGAAATGCCTCTCAAGCTTGCTCGGGAAAACAAAAAGTCGACGAGCGAGAAAATGAATTAGTCCTTACAGCAGTAAACCGTGTCCTCGTCGGAGCCGTCCCCGCAGTCGTCGTCCCCGTCGCAGGCCCACATCCTGGACAAACACCTGCCGTTCCTGCAGGCGAATTTGCTCTCGTCGCAGGTGACGTTCTTAGGGACGCACATCCTGCCCTCGTTGACGAGTCTGCTGCCGTCGTCGCACTTGCACTCGGCTGATCCATTTATCCCAGGATGGCAGGACTGGTCGCAGCCACCCTTGTTGATGTTGCAAGGGTTCACCTTGCAGAGCTGCCTGGCAGGTGAATAGACGTGGAGATCCCTGGGGGAGTCCTCGAGCCTCTTGACGAGCTCGACCTTGTCGGCGCCGGTGTGCTTCTCGGCGCGATAGACGCCCCTAAGCTGGAGATCCGTCCAGTAGATGTGCTCCCTGAAGACGGTGATGGCGAAGGGGTAGATGGTGGCGGAGACCAGGACCTGTCGATTTTTGCCGTCCAGGTCGGACCTCTCGATCTTCTCCCTGACGGCGTCGGTCCAGTAGAGCATCCGGTCGTCGTAGTCGATGGCCAGGCCACTCGGCTGGGAGAGGTCCTTCTCGATGATGGTCCTCTTCAGGGAGCCGGCCATCGTGGTGCGGAAGATCTTCCCGGATGTCCCGAAGCGGCCCCAGTCGGTGAAGTACAGGGTCCCGTTGCAGGGGTCGACGACGATGGCCCTGGGCCTGTCGACCCTGGCGATCATGACGAGGTCGGACCCGTCGATGTTCATCGCGTAGATGCTGTTGTTGGAGGAATCCGTCCAGTAGACCTTCTTCTGGGTCCAGTCGTAGGAGATGCCCTCGGGGTTGATGCCCTTACTGATCAGGGTGTGGATGTCGCTCGAGGAGGGGCTCTCCGCCTGCATCCAGGCGATCTTCGCCCAGGGTCTGATCTGGGTGAAGAGGAGCTTCTTGTCCTCGTAGTCGAAGTCCACCCCGACGACGTTGGTGAGGTTCCCCACGGGCTTGAACGGGACGTTCGTCGCCCGAGGGTCGAGGTTGATCCCGCGGATCTCGGTCCTGGTGGCGAACACCAGGAACTCGTCGATGGTCTCGCAGGTCTTGCCGCCCTTCGCCAGCTTCCCGGTGGCGCAGTCGCACCTGTAGGACTGGGGATAGCTCGGGGGGAAGGCGAAGCAGAGCTGCTGGCAGCCGCCGTTGGGGGTCGCGATGCAGGGGTTCGTGCCGTCCATGGGCTGGCTGCTCTCGTCGAAGATGGCAATGTCCCGGAGCTTCTGCAGGTTGGTCCTGAGCGGGGTCGGCAGGGTGGGAACGCCGAGACTGGGCTGCTTGCTGGCCTTGAAGACGGTCGCCAGGTTCCTGTCGACCCAGAAGACCTCCATGCCGTAGATGGCGACCCCCATGGGGTTGGGCAGGTTCCGCCTGATCACCTGTTGATTGCTCCCAGTGAACGAGACCTTTTGGATGGTGTCCAGGGTGGAGTCGACCCAGTAAACGTCGTGGGTCATGGGATCGATGGTCAGGTCCCGAGGAGTGCTAATCCCGGTGGTGACGATCTCGGTCCAGTTGCTGCCGTCCAGATTCGCCTTGCCTATCCTGGGGTACTGTCCATAGTCTATCCAGTACAGGATCCTCTTGATGGGGTTGACGGCCAGCTCCCTGGGCGAGTCCGTCGTGGTCTTCACCAGCACCTTCCGGTTGGACCCGTCCAGCCAGCAGACCTCGACGTAGTTGTCGTGGGGGAAGACGTTCGCAAAGTACAGGTTCCCGGCGATCCAGTCGATGGTCAGGCCCCGGATGCCGTTGGAGCCTATGCCCTCCTTGATCACCTGTTGCATCTCCGTGCCATTCGGTCTGACCCTGAAGATGCCGTTCCAGATCCCGCGGTTGAACTCCACCCAGTAGATCCAGTTGGCCGCGTAGTGGACGTCTACGTGTAGGATGTGATGCCCGACCCCTGCTATGGGGACCATGGCCTCTTTCGCGTCCTTCAAGCTGTATCCCCGAGCCACGTCCAGCTGGGTCACCACGGCGAAGGTCTTGAAGGGCTCGCACCTGGTCTCGTCGACCTTGCGGTACTCCAGGCCACAGGCGCATACCCTGGTGCCCCCTGAAGAGGGCAGGCAGATCTGCTCGCAGCCTCCGTTGCTGACCAGACAGGGATGGGTCCCGGTGGCCCTCTTCTTGTAGATGGTCAGGGTCCTCAGCTCGGAGTCGTTCTGGATGATTGTCTGCGGATTGTTCCCGCCCGGTAGGTCCACCTTCTCCACCTTGTCGTAGAGCGGGTCCAGGTAGTACAACCTGGACTCGTGAACGGCCAAGGCCTTCGGCAGGGCGATATTGTTCACCGCCGACAAGATGGTCCTGACGTTCCCGCCGTCCGTAGACATGGCCTTGACGAAGGTGGGGTGCTGCTGGCTGAAGTAGATGGTCCTCGTCGGGATGTCGATGGCGATGGCCTCGAGCCTAGTGGCGTTCTCCACCAGGACCAGGGGGTTGGTACCGTCCATGTTGACTCGGCCGATCTTCATGGGCACCCCGAAGTCGCCGTCGTCCACCCAGAAGACGTGGCCCTCGAGCGGGTCCACGCACATGGACCTAGGCTTGGCCACCGAGGTCCTGTTCCCGTCGTTGGCCAGGACGATGGTCCTGTATCGGTTCTTCCCGTCGATCTTGATCGCCTCGATGTTCGAGGCAAAGCGATTCCCGATGAAGAGGTTCCTGCCGAGCCAGTCGAGCGCCATGGTGGACGGGGACCCGACGATACCGCTGTCTCCCCCAGGATTGGGGAACTCGGTGCGGTTTCCTCCGCCGTAGGGAATCGTGTAGATGGTGCCGTTCTCGTCGTCGCCGTCCTTACCCTGTAGCCAGTAAATGACGCGATCCCTGCGGTCGTAGTCGATGAACTTGCCGCCCTCGACCCCGACCACGGGGGTGATGTATCCCGTCTTGGAGTCGCCGGCGACGAGGGAGACGTCGACGATCTGGGATCCGCGTAGGATCATCAGGTAGGGGGTCTCCTCCTCGGTACAGCGACCGTCCGGCTGCAGCCTGAAGCCTACCTGACACCTGCAGGTGTAGCCGGTGGAGCTGCTGGGAGAGAGTAGACACAGGTGGGCGCAGGTGGCGTTGGCGCAAGGATTCGGGGTAATGGGCTGCAGGACCGGGTGGTGGACGTGGATCGACAGGGGCTGGGAGATCAGGTGCGACACCACCGTCTGGTTCGACCCCATGAACTTGTGGGCCGAGAGCACCCTGTTGAGCTGCCGGTCGGTCCAGTACATGGTGTCCTCGAAGAGGGTCAGCGAGTGGGGATGCAACAAATAGTGGGACCCTCCCAGCACCTGCTGCCTCCCGGTGCCGTCGTAGAGACAGGTGTCGATGAAGTCCAGCTTGCTGTCGGCGAAGTAGATCCTCTTCGTGGCGATGTCGAGGGCCAGGCCGTTGGGCCAGTAGATCTTGGTGTTGACGATGACGGACCGATTGGTCCCGTCCATGCCGATCCTCTCGATGCGGGGGTTCTCGCCCCAGTCGGTCCAGAAGAGCCACCTGGCGCCAGGGCTGGGGTCCAGGCACATGCCCCTGGGCTGAGTGATGTTCTCCTTGACGAGGACCATCCTGTTGGTCCCGGTCTCCTTGGCGACCTCGATGGTGTTGAGCTTAGAATCCAGCCAGTAGAGGTTCTGCCCAATCCAGTCGTAGGCCAGGCCTTCGACGAGATCGAGTCCAGTGGAGATGACGTCCTGGGGGTCGCTGCCCCTGTCCAGCCTGGAGATCTTCTTCAGCTTCATGTCCGACCAGAAGATCGTGCCGGTGTGCATGTTACTCGCGGTAGCGACCACGTTCTCCACGTTGATCGGGACCCTCTCCAGAGCCTGGTCCTTCAGATCAGCCACCAGGATGGTGTGCCTGTTGGAGATGATGAGGAAAGCCGCACTCTGGTTGAAGGCCTTGCAGGTGTGCCGGTCCCTCTCTAGGACGTAGCCGTCCACGCAGTTGCAGAAGTAGCTGCCCTTGGTGTTGACGCAGATCTGGGAGCACCGACCGGGAGGGTCGCACTCGTTCAGGTCCTGGCAGGTGAATTCATCGGGGCCCAGTTCTTCACCGATGGGGCAGGTGCACTGGGCTCCGAGGGGGGTCTGCAGGCAGCCGTTGCTGCAGAATCCTCCCTGCAACCGGCACTCGGCAAGGTCGCATCCGATGCCCTCGTCGGCGCCGTTGGGGCAGTCCGGCTTGCCGTCGCAGACGCTGGTGACGTTGACGCAGCGATTCGTCACATTGGGGCACTTCCACTCGTGGGACTCGCACTTGAACTCGGGGGGTCCGCAGGCATGGAGTCGGGTGTCCTCGTCGGAGCCGTCCCCGCAGTCGTCCTTGCCGTCGCAGATGTAGGCCTTGAAGACACACTTACCGTTCTGGCACCGATGATACCCGGGCTGGCACTCGGACTGCCGACAGGTGTCTGGCTCGTCCGACTTGTCCTGGCAGTCGACGGTCCCGTCGCAGTACCAGCTGCGAGGGATGCAGATGACGGAGCTGGCGCACTGGAACTGCTTCTCAGGATTACACTGATCTGGGGCTAGAGAAGGACAGCCGAGCTCGTCGCTGCCGTCGTTGCAGTCGGAGATCCCGTCGCACTTGTAGGACTCGAGGACGCACATCTTCTGGTCGGCGCAGGTGAACTGGGTGCTGAGGCAGGTGACGGGCGGACAGTCCATCTCGTCCTGCTGGTCGAAGCAGTCGTTGTCCCCGTCGCAGACCCAGGACTGGGGGATGCAGTGGCCCGACCTGGGGCAGGTGAACTGGAAGTAGGAGCAGGTCTTGGCAGCGCAGAAGGCACCTTCGTCCGAGCTGTCCCCGCAGTCGTTCTCCAAGTCGCACTTCCAGGTCGCCGGGATGCACCGGTTGTTCTCGCAGGTGAACTGATTCGCGCTGCAGGTCACGTTCGGGCAGGCCATCTCGTCGCTGTAGTCCCCGCAGTCGTTCCCGGAGTCGCACCTGAAGCTGAGGGGCACGCACCTGCCGTTCTGGCACTGGAACTCGTTGGGCCCGCAGGTGGGCTTGGTGCAGTTCTGCATCTCGTCGCTCTTGTCCAGGCAGTCGTCGTCGCCGTCGCAGACCCAGGACTGGGGGACGCAGCGTTGGTTCGCGCAGGTGAAGTCCCAGCTGTTGGGGCAGGCCTGAAGTGGAGGCTCGGCCTCGGGGTCGGCCGTGCAGGTGCGAGCGTCGCTCCTCAGCCTCTCCCCGTAAGGACACCCGCAGACGCTGGTCAACCTGGTCGGGTGCTCGCTGTTGTTCGTGGGGACGGCGAAACAGAGTTTCTCGCAGCCTCCGTTGTTTATCTGACAGGGATGGCCCGCACTAGGGCTCTGGACGTCGCGACTGAACACCTTCACCCCGTAGAGTCGATTCGTAGCCGGTTCCCGGACCAGGATGGCCTCCTGCTCGCCGGTTTCCTTGTGGAGCCTGATTATGGCGTCCAGTCGCCAATCCGTGATGTACATCCACTGCTTGTGGATCGCTATGGAGAAGGGATGCCTGATGAGCCTGGAGTTGACGGTCCTGACGTCGCTCCCGTCCAGGTTGGAGTGCTCCACGTGGTCCAGAAGGGCGTCGCACCAATACAGTCTGTCTTTGGTGAAGTCTATCGCGAGGCCGTTGGGCCAGCCCAGGGTGAGGTTCTTGAAGACCATCAGGTTGGACCCGTCCGCGTGGGCCCTACTGATGTTCGCCGGTCGGTCCCACTCGGAGAAGAAGATGAACCCGTGGTTCGGGTGGACCACGATGGCGCGCGGTCTCTTCAGGTTCTTCAGCAAGGTCCTGCGGTAGGTGACGTTCCTGGTGCTGAGGACGTTCAGGGTACCCTTCCTCGAGTCGATGTAGTAGAGGTTCTTCGCGGCCCAGTCGACGGCCAGTCCCTCCACGCCCTCGTTCTGGCTGGCCAGGACGATCTCCCTGCCGGTGCCGTTCTGATGGACCCTGTAGATGACGTCCTGGAGAACGTCGCTGTAGTAGATGTACTGATCATGGGCGTCGTAGTCGAGGCCCACGAATCGGGCCCTCCTCGAGACGACGGGCAGGATGGCGTCGCTGAAGCCCTCCATCACCGGGTCCAGGACCCGGCCCTTGATGAACCTCTGCTGGGAATACATGAGGAACTCCTCGACCAGGTTGCAGAACCTGAGGTCGGCCGAGAGTCGCCAGCCGATGTCGCAGGCGCACCTGTAGGCCAGTCCGGATTCCCTCCCACCTGCCGCGGTGACGATGCACATGTGCTGACACCCTCCGTTGTTGTTCCCGCAGGGGTTCGACACCGGGGGCTGGGCCAGGGCGTGGAGGGCCTTGATGGCCTTGGCGTCGCTGGTCTTGAAGATGGTCTGGATGGAGTACACCCCCTGAGTCTTGTCCACGCTCGTCACCGCCTGCTTCGTATTGTCGGTCCAGTAGATCCTGTTCTCGAAGAGGGTGAGCCTCACCGGGGACGGGACGTGGGAGCCGCGGATGATCATCGTCCTCCCGCGACCCATGTAGTCCGCGGTCTCTATATAATCCAACTGGGAGTCGCACCAGAAGATCCTCTTGGCGATGATGTCGGCGGCGACCCCGGACACCTTGTAGGCCGCCTCGGAGACGACGGGGAAGGAGGACGTGCCGTCCATGTTGGCTCTAAGGACCTGTTTGCTGTCGGCGATGAACATGATACCCACGGTGGGGTCCAAGGCGATGTCGTTGGGGCTCGTCAGGTTGGAGCCTAGGGCCACCCCGTGGAAACGGCCGTCCAGCTCGAAGACGTCGATCTTCTGGACGATCGAGTCGACCACGTAGAGCTTCTCGCCGACCCAGTCGACCGCCAGGGCGACCGGCGACCAGGACCCCGGTAAGTAGATATCCATGTTGACCGCGTTGTCCGGATTCTCGTTCAGGGGCTGCGAGAGGACCTTGTGGGTCTTGAGATCGCTCCAGAAGAGGAGGTTCTTGGAGTAGAGGAAATCGACGCCGCTGGCCCCGGTAGTATTGGCCACCAGCTTCTGGTCCCCGCCGGTGGCTCCCATCCGCCAGATCGCTCGTTCCTGGGCCACCAGCAGTTCCAGGCTCCCGTTCTGGGCCCGACACTTGTTGTCCCCGTGCAGCACGTATCCTGGGGCGCAGCTGCAGTCGTAGGAGCCTTCGGTGTTCGTGCAGAGCTGCTCGCAGAAGCCCCACTCGGCGCACTCGTTCCTGTCTGAAGAGTTCCCTCTTTACTTCCAACGTACTCTTTCTTACGTATATTACAACAATGAACTCTCTTTACTCCGAAGTCCCGCACCACTCTCGAGGACCTTTCCTCCCCTTACCTGTACACGTCCTGGTGTCGTTGGCGAGGACCTGGCCCTCGGGGCAGATGCACACCCCTCCTGCAGGGGAGGACTGGCAGTTGTACTGGCAGCTCAGCAGCGGGCACATATCCGAGGCTGGAAGTTAAAAGGCAGATTACTCGACTTCCTTTACCAGGTCCTTGGACAGGCTCCTCCCCTGTACGAGTCCTTACAGCAAGCGGCCTCCTCGTCGGCGCTGTCCTCGCAGTCCTCCTTGCCGTCGCAGAGCTGGGACCGATTTATGCAGAGCGGCTTCCCTCCGGGCGCTCCTTGCGGACACATGAATTTATTCCCAGGACACACCGTCGCCGTGCAGGACTTCTCGTCGGACCCGTCGTCGCAGTCCTTGTACCCGTCGCACTGGTACCCCACCGGGATGCAGAGTGCGTTGGCGCAGCGGAACTGGTCGCTGGTGCACGGCGGAAAGCCTGGAAAATAAGGACGTAAGGATATTCAAGCAGGACCTCTCGAAAGTTGAAATAATTTCTCTCGAAGTCCTGCACCGAGAGAAAAAAGAATAAATAAAATTGGATGCCTCAAAAAAACCATGCGTCGTTGCAGGAAAATGCTTCGATCCACTACCTCCAAGGAAATGCACTTAAATTGAGGATATCATTTTTCTTTGTAAGGAAAAAAATGTTTCTCGCAGTTATCCATGATTCAGGCAAGGATATATATTTGCTTCGGTTAAGTGACATTTTTATTTATTTATTTTTTTTCTTAGTCTGGCACTCACTGCAGTGCTCCTCGTCGCTATTGTCCCCGCAGTCGTCCTTGTGGTTGCACCTGGCACTCTGCTCGACGCATCTCTTGGTGACGTTGCACCTGAACTGGTCTAACCTGCAGGGGGGGTAAAGGGTGACGCACTTCTCCTCGTCCTTGCCGTTCCTGCAGTCCAGGTACCCGTCGCACCTCTTCTCCTTCGGCAAACAGAGCTCCGGGGTGGTGCCGCCGCACCTGAAGTCGTCTCGTTGGCACTTCCTGTAACCTGAGGAGATCCGAGTCGCATCTTTGGTTAATTAGATCGCGGGATCGACGTCGATCCTTCCGGGGAAGGCGCGGCAGATGGATCTAGAGATCCAGGGCCGAGGTGCGAGATACCCGGGGGGAAAGAAAGGAGAAAGAAAGTACCCATCACCGCCGCCAGAGGCGGAGATCCAAGTCGCATCTTTCGTCCTTTAGATCGCGGGATCGACGTCGATCTTCCCGGGGAAGGCGCGACAGATGGATCTAGAGATCCAGGGCCGAAGGTGCGAGAAACCCGGAGGGAAAAGAAAGGAGAAAGAAACTACCCATCACCGCCGTCAGAGGCGGAGATCCGAGTCGCATCTTTGGTTAATAAGATCGCGGGATCGACGTCGATCTTTCCGGGGAAGGCGCGACAGATGGATCTAGAGATCCAGGGCCGAGGTGCGAGAGACCCGGGGGGAAAGAAAGAAAGTACCCATCATCGCCGCCAGAGGCGGAGATCCAAGTCGCATCTTTCGTCCTTTAGATCGCGGGATCGACGTCGATCATCCCGGGGAAGGCGCGACAGACGGATCTAGAGATCCAGGGCCGAAGGTGCGCGAAACCCGGGAGGGAAAGAAAGGAGAAAGAAACTACCCGTCACCGCCGCCAGAGGCGCCACACACGCAGAACCGTCACGGTCCGTAAAAAGGCCGAGGAAAAAGGGGAAGTAACCCGGAAACCCGGAGTAATTGCCTCGTAACCCGACAATGGGCCGATTGTTTGCGGCTTCGGGGGAAGAAGCGGTACCGGATGAATGATAACAACAAAAAAAAAAAGAAAAGGAATATATATATAAAAAGAAAGAATGGGTCGGAGAAACGGGAAAAATGGAGAAAGGGAGAACCGAACGGGAAAACGATTCCAATCGAGTACCCGCGTGGGCGTATCGCGGGGACTTTAATCCGGAGACAATCGTCTCGTCGGCGCTGCAAAAAGGCACTGAAATTCTCGATCTTTAATAAAAGGTTGCGTAATCACGCTCGGCCGCCTTTATTGTTCCTGGGGAATTTCTTTTTTTTTTTCCCCCGGGGCCAAAGCGGCGTGACGAGACCGAGTCCAAGACCTAGGTATCGTCTTTTCCTCCGTCGCAAGATCCGTTTTGCGACCCCCTGGTCCATCTAAAAGAGCCTCTCGTTGACGCGAATGATCCAGAAAAAAAAAAAGAAAAGGATCGAGGAATTCGAAGGACCTCCTCCGTGCGCTCGTGATTGCCTCCTACTGTACTCCGGAGGGTAGAGTACCGATAGCGTTAACCTCGCCCACTGTACCCTTCCGATCGATGCAGATCGAATGCAATCGCGTATCGCGATCAATGAAAAGTTCGACTTTCTGGAAATTCTTTCATGATCACCAGTCACGTGTCAACGTTTCGGACAGTTCTATCCAATACCCTTCAAAGAAAAAACGTGTTTTATTAATAGAAATAGACTGATTAGAAGGGGGTTTCACTTCACCTTAACTCCCGATAACGCGCCCGAGGGTGGAGAGGGGAAAAAAGGAAAGGAAACCAAGGCCGACAGGAAAGATCGAGGATCGCTCGCGCGAGAAGAGCCGATTTCCTCATCAGGGGGACAACCTTGAAGCCTCGGCAGCGATCGGTCGTAGGAGTTCGCCTTTACCGACCGGTCGCGAACACGTAGCCGGTACCGGTACGTACCGGCACGTACCGTCCACCCTCTACGACCGATTTCCAACCCGTGACCGAGCGCGTGCGGCCGCTTTACGTGGAGTCGCGTACGGTCCCGCCATTTTCCGACCACGTGGCGAGCCAAGAGTTTCTACGTTCTCTTAACACCTTCGCGATCGGCAAATTTTATCCGTATCAAATACCGAGTACCGGGGAAAATAATGAAATTCTTAAACTGGTTGCCGCAAACTTCTATCGTGTATCGTCATGGACGTGAATTCACGTCAGCGGCAATCAGGGATAAAATTTCAAATGACGTGAATTCACGTCAGCGGCAATGAAGAATAGAATTTAAAATGACGTGAATTCACGTCAGCGGCAATGAAGAATAGAATTTAAAATGACGTGAATTCACGTCAGCGGCAATGAAGAATAGAATTTAAAATGACGTGAATTCACGTCAGCGGCAATGAAGAATAGAATTTAAAATGACGTGAATTCACGTCAGCGGTCGTGAATGCGTTAATAAAATTAAAAAAAAAATAAAAGAAATTAACTTCTTAGGGAAAAAAATTTCCTCAGGCGATTTCTATTCCCGGGACCCTCTAGAGATGCAAAAACGACTCCGTTTATAGATAGCCGCATTATTTATGGTCAGACACTCACTGCAGCCTGCCTCGTCGGTCCCGTCGACGCAATCGACCTTCATGTCGCATCTCTGATGAGGCGGTATGCAGTACGTCTTGTTGAAGATGTACTGGCTGCAGGTAATCTGGCCCACGTCGCAGTCCGGAGGAGCTGAAAAGGTAATCGGATGAATAGAGCGAGGAAGTATAATTTTCACGCAATTAAAGAAATGCTTCATTATAGCATTAATTTTAACCATTTTTGTATCGTAAATTAATTATTTCATCCAAAGAATTTGTACGCAATTATTTTTTCCTAAGCCTTCTAATTATTAAAATCTGTATGTAGTATACCTATCTCTACGAAACCAGTCAAATTGACGGACTAGCTAATTTCATAAACAATCCATATATATTTGCTTCGTTGCAGGGAGTGTAAGGCGAAGATGAGAGTGAAAGTTTGCATTGAAAGTGAAGAAATAGAATGATCTTCGAATAGTGAAGAGGAAAACTACTTGAAAGGGTGTCGTAGCAAGAAAAGGATGCGCATTCTTTCTAGTTCCGACTCCGAGGATGAGAGGACGAGCATTCCAATAATTTCCGTGATAATTTTTAAAAAAGGACTTTTTACTTATTAATCATTTATTTAAACGTAAAGCCTAGGGTTGTTTAATACAGACTTAATTTGAATAAATCGATTTTTTAAAGAAAATGCGTCTTTTCGTTTACCCGTCAATTTGACGGGTGCTCGTAGAAATAGGTATATAAGAAACGACCGTAAACCTAGTGCTAATGACATTTCTGTTTCCGGGGTGTCGGCGAAGATAAAGGAGATGAATAAATCCAACCTACGCATAATCGATATACTCACGACAGGACTGGAACTCATCTTCGGCGTTATCGCAGTCCCTCTGGTAATTGCAGACCCAAGACGCCGGGATGCACTTGCCCTCCGGGCATCGGAACATTCCCAGGGGGCATTCGATTCCTGGAACAATTCCGAGAAGTTCGCAATCAGCGGCGTGATAGGTGAAAGGTTCGCCGATGCACCGGGTCACCTCGGTCCCCATCATCCTCGGGGCCAATCCCGACTGGTTTCCGGAATATCCGCGGGCATTGCTTCCCTCGATTAACCGGGTTAATAAACCGCGGGTTCCTTCCTTACCGACCGTTTCGAGCCGGGAAACGAATTCTCGGCCCGGCGTTTCCGGGGTAGATCGGCCGAGACGAAATTCCCGGCCGGGCCAATAATGATATTTAATTGTACCGACTTTCCAGGATTAAGTTTCACGGGAGAGATAAAAAGTAAAAAAGAATACAGAAGAGAGGAAAAATCTAACCATAATGGGCCGTCGATTAATCGGCCCAACGGGGCGTAAAACGTGCATTGTTAAAAAAAAAAATGATTACTTTATAACATTTTTCTAGAAAGTTTCATTCAGACATGGTATACTAATTTTGTAACATATTTTCAAATATATATTATAAATTTAGAATATGAAAATATGAAAATGGCGTCGAAGAGGTTTCGTTTATTAAACATTTCTCCGAATTGGGTTTACCGAATTATGTCAAACTTCACAATGCGAATATGGAGACTATAAGGAAGGTCCTGTAACTCATGGAATTTCAATATTTTAAAAATTTGTTTATAGGCATTTTTAAAATTTCACCCCATTTGATCTCCCGATCGCCAAGGAGTTGAACTCTCCTTATATATGAAGTTAGACGGCGAAACGCCCTTTACAAAGTGAGCGATGACGCATCGGCTCGGCAAATGCGCCGTCCACGTTCGATTTATTGTCACCCTGGACAAAAGAGCGCACGCCAGACCGTGTAAACACCTACGTAACCTCGAGTCGAGAGAGCCCAGTCACTCCGTGTAACTGTACCGTCTTTTTACGGGTCCGAGGGTCCCAGAAATCGACACCCGAGATTTCTTCGTTTTACCTACACTTTCTACACTTTTACGAAAAGTTTGGCGTTCGTTTTGGGGGAAGTGAAGAAGACGTCGCTGTTTGTCTTGGGCATCTACCCCGAGGGTACACTTCCTCCACACTTTCTACCCTCGATCCCGAGCTAGTGCAAGATGTTATAAAAACGTAGGCCGTGAATTCGGCGGCAAATTTCAAAATTGAAAAGACCAACAAACAGGAAAATACAATGTTTGTTACAAGATCTCCACATAATATAAATAGAAATAATGATCAATGTACTTTCTTCGGGTATAGAACGATTTAGCGTTTCAATTTTGTACGTAATCTTTGAACAATTGTACAATCATTGTTTATTACAAATGATGTATTCCTTTGCAATTTATTTATTTACAATTATTATGTATTACTGCATCATATATTATCACTATCGTCATCATTTGCTAGAAGATGTAACGAAGGAAGCATTACATCTTCATCTTCATCATCATCCGATTCGAACAGCTCCAAAATTGCATACTGTCCCGCTAAATCGGCCATCTTGTACTTTCTTGAGCTTTCTGGCGTTCGGGACGTCGACGAAACTGTATCTACACCTTCTGCACCTTTCAAGAAAAGTGTAGCACCCTCGTTACCCTCTAAGGTAGAAAGTGTGGAGAACGAGAACAAACTTACGAATTCGGCCCTAGGATCGCCTCGGTTTCCTCTAGGCGAGGCGCCGCCATCTTGGACAGCCTGCGCAAGAGGATGACCGCTCGGCGGCCGAGACTCAAGTTCAGAGATCAACGACCGCCACGCAAATGACGGACAGTGCCACCTGGAGGACCGTTTTCCTAACGTTCACCCTGGCTCGATTAAACTCCGGTCGCTCGTTCGTCTAATTACCCGCTCCCCTTGACACCGCTCGCTCGCTCGCTCGTCTAAAGTAAAGCAGGGCAGGAATGCGCGACGAGTAAGAGTACACGCATTATAGTTTTTCCTGCGCCTGCGCGGCAGTATACCGTTAGCAGCACTGGGTCGATTGTCAATTATTTCATGGCCAACAGTCGTTAAGGTGGAGTAAAACCCCCACTCAAATCAATTGATTCTAATGAAACACTGTTCTTTTCTTTTAAGGGTATTGGATCAAACTGTCCGAAACGTCTACAAGTCACTCCTGATCATCAAGGAATTGTCCTGACACGTTCGAAATTTGAATTTTTGAAAAAAAAAAAGAATGTCTCAACTTAGATCCAGATCAGAACCAAAATGGCGTCGAGCTCTGGTACTTCGATCGATGTGCAATTATTGAAGGCTCTGATATGAGAGACGAAAGGGTCAGGACAATTGTACGGCAATTTAGAACACGCTGGTAATGGATAAACTGGTATTTGAAGGGGATAAAGGCTAAAGGAGTGTCTTATGCCCTTCTGTGTCAAAACGATGGTAATGCGAGGTCTCGGAGTGAAAGTTTAGTTGACATGGAAGTCACAGATGGCGCAGGGGGTCCCTCTGCAGTCAGTTAGGGCCTCGGAAAGCGTGAATCCAGAGGATTTATGGAGTTTTACTTCGATTTATTTGTAATTATTGTAAGGAAACGACAGGTGGAGTACGCCATTTAGTACAATACCCAATTCAATTCGACACATCTGTCGATATAAAAACCAATGTCAGCAATGTTGGTATTTAGATAAATCTTCTTTACCGTGATTACCGCGGCAGATCGCTCCCGAGATAGAAATCAGAAAATTACCCAAGAAAGAGACGTTTTCAAACATGGCGCCTTAAAATTAAAGGGGAAAAAAAAACAACACTTGCTTAACTCGAAGAATTATCCATTGCTGCAACGAAACTCTCTACCAAATGAAATACTTCGAAACAATAAATATCAGAAAGAGCGAAGTAAATTCATTTAAATCGAGGATATCATGTTTCGCCTCCGGCAAACAATTGTTTCTTGCAATTATAACAATTCAGACAACGATACATATCTCGGTAAACCAATCTTTTTCTCAGTGTGCCATTTTGTTAGGATGAAGGCGTACTTTAAATAAAAAAAAAGAAACACTGTAAATTCAACTCATTCTCTTAAGTAAATGAGTTTAGTCGAATGGTTCGCCATGTTTAACGGAAAAAATGAATTAAATTAAAAACAAATGAAATGATAAATGAATGAAATGTAAAATGAATGCAATGTAAAATGAATGAAATGTAAAATGAATGAAATGTAAAATGAATGAAATGTAAAATGAATGAAATGTAAAATGAATGAAATGTAAAATTAATGAAATGTAAAATTAATGAAATGTAAAATTAATGAAATGTAAAATCAATGAAATGTAAAATCAATGAAATGTAAAATCAATGAAATGTAAAATCAATGAAATGTAAAATCAATGAAATGTAAAATCAATGAAATGTAAAATTAATGAAATGTAAAATTAATGAAATAAAAAATGAAGGAAATGACAAATTAATGAAAAATGAATTTCCGCTATTTCGATCAAATGTACCGGAGTATTTCTCTTAATCTTTCCTTTTCTCGACGTGAAAACAGTCCTACCGAGTACGCAAAGAGACTCGCATCTCCCTTGTGCGTGCCTACGCGGTTCTACGTTCCGCCGGTACCAGGCCGCGCCGGCTGGCACGAACGCTGCACTCACCGAAGAGAGACGCCCCCCTCTCTCCGCCCTCTCCCGGCCGCGCGCGCCACTCCGCGGCGCACCGACACACGCGCAGGCGCGTCCAGAGGAAGAGAGGAAGAAAGGGAGAGGCGGAGAAAGAAGGAGAGAGTCCCGGGTATACCAGGGTGGAGGCCCTTTTCTTCGTCGGCGGGCCCTTAAGGGATTCCAGTCGGCGCGAGTTTTTTCTTTCCCGAGTCGAGCCGAAACTCGACTCGGGGATACTGTTTTACAAATCCTCGAGAGCTTAAACTCGAGCCACTATAACCGAGACCGTAGCGGTAATTTAAGAATCCCTACGTTAAACAAAAGGAAAAAAATAACATTTCAATCGTATTTAATTCTCATTAAGGTGAAACGAAGCACGTTGAGGAACTTGATCGACGCCGGTAAAAGAGGCCCTCCTAAATACCTACGTTGCCGACGTTGGTTTTTATATCGACACTTAGGTTGAATTATGTTGAGTATTGTAATAAATGGCACACTCCATCTGTCGTTTTCGTGTAATAATTATCAAGAAATCGAAGTAAAGTTACAGAGATCCCCTGGATTTATCGTTTCTGAGGCCCAAATTGACTGCAGAGGGACCCCTTGCGTCATCTGTGATTTCCGTGTCAACTAAATCTCCACTCAAGACCATTATGGTTCTGAGCTACTTTAAAAAATGTTTTCTAAAAAATTCAAATTTTAAAAGTGTCAGGATAATTCCCAGGTGCTCACGAGTAATGTGTCAAAGTTTTGGACAGTTCTATTTAATATTCTTAAAAAAAAAAGTACTGTACTTTAATCGACTGATTTGAGGAGGGGGGTTCACTTCACCTTAATTCGCGGGAAATTTAATCATTAGGTCTATCCCCGGTTATATAATCCAGGTAAGATGAGGTACTTAATACTAGTGCGCATCCCTCGACCGGTGGCGCCCTCGGCGGCATTCAAGGGGAAGTAGAATACGGGGGCCGTCGTCTCGACGCAGCCGGTCGGCTTCCACCTGAGAGCGGGATTTATAAATAACCCGGGAATAGAGCGCTCGCCTAGATGGCCGCAAATGGTCGAGTCGCGAGCGATCTACAAGGCGATTCGCCCGCTCGAGGGGAACGGAATCTCGAGCGAGGTTAGGTCGGGCCTGATTTGCCGGCTGGAAAAGGAGAGCTTTGCGGTGTGCTCCTTTCCACGGGCGACGCGACGCGTCCGTTAATCGGGGCCCTGCGTCGCGGGGCCGTTTTCGGGTCTTTTATGAAATTTCCCCCGGCGAGAAAATCGGGAGATTCCCTTAAAAAGCGGCGCGCCGCCCTTAAGGTGATGTGAAACACGTCGAGGAACTTGATCGACGCTGGTAAAGAAGATCTATCTACATACCTACGTTGCTTTACAAAATCTAAATTTCGAATGTATCA